AGAACGTACAATATTCGACATCATATATAATATTGTTACTCGTATATTACTTTGGTTCAGGCAATAGCGTTAAGAAAATGAACGTATGTGGAACGTGTGTGAACCTATTAAATTTTATCAGGAAAGAAATGATTTATGACCTTCGAAATACATTGTTTTACTCCAACTACTGATTACTGAAGATGGTCCAAATTTGAATCGAAATGTGTTTAATCTTTCGTGTATTAATTATTTATTTCTTTCTTCTCAAATATAACTGCGCGTTGTTGTCCATGGACTAGATTTTTATTACCTCTATTTTTACTTTATTTCAAGGATCTTCACTTGTTTGTTAAATATTGCGTATAAGCAATACATAGAATATAATTGCTTGCATAGCATATAATTACGATTTTTAAAAATTAATAAATATTGATAAAGATCAATATTTCCGATCTTTATCTTGATCTAAAGTCTAAACGTACGTGCTGATACATGTGACATCAATAGTGACGTGATAAAGATTATCACAAAGCATTCACATCATTGTGATGCCGACTATTTTTTATGATTCTCGTTCTCTTATCAGGACTCTTGTATCGCGCAGCTAATTATTGCGTTAATGTTGGAAATAAGCAATTAGGTAATTGCACAAGCAACGAGAAAGAGAAGCACAAAGTCTTTGTATTATTTCATACCATTAATCGAATCGAGTTTACTCCGTTTTCTCTGATCGTTCTTCGCGTAAAATCGTTTGATTACGCCCGAGAGAGCTTTAATACGGTAAAATAAACTTTGATCAGTGAGTAAATCGCGGGCGAGTTTTTTTTTATCGTGGAAAAAATTGTCACACATCGAATGCCTTTTCGGGCAACCAACAACGCATTCTGTCCTATTATTCATTCGCGCATACCGAACACATTGCTGGGCGGAATAAAAAGAAAAAAAAATACTTTAACGGCGGATATTGCCGCGCGCCAATTCTATATTCTTAAGAAATTTCGTTTGTTTCTCCCGCTCGACCGATTCGGTTATTCACGGCTGTGTTAAAGCTTAAAGCGACGTACGCGATGCAATATTCAGTCGGAGCGAGGACGAAGAGATGCGATTCAACCGAAGTCAGACGCCGACACATTCCGAAGCCTTGACTTGACACCGGGCGCGACCAGCGATAAGGGGGCGTATCGAAACTACTACTATCGTGTCTGCATCATTAGTTAACAATTACTTATCTAGTAATTATACTCCCAACAATTACAAAAACTCTAACAGACCTCTTGTAGTGACGATTTTTAATATAAGTTCGTCTCTTCGAGACTTATTTACGATATGAAGATAAAATATAATGATAAAAAAAAAATTCCGTAGGATTTATTAATGATTAAAAAATCTGAAGATAAACTATTGCCAGAGATTGTGTAAGAGATGCCGAAGCTATATACCGTTGTAGGAATTGAAGAAGAGACAGGAGGAAATATGTACGCGGCGTGATTACCCGATCAATGGCGTATGCAATTTTAATTATAAATCCCGTCCGCACGCAGTTACAAGTTTGCAGTCTTAGTTACGTTTCACGGAAAAACGGATAGAAAACTCTTCGCAACGACTATAGGATGTTACAGATTGTAATCTTTTGGCAATGATTTTTCTCTTAACGTGTTCATAGATTTATAAAAAGTCTCTGTCTATATTTTTCTCCCCGGTTTGCCGGCCAGACCAATAATTCGTGCGCCAAGGACGGCGCTTTATAGGAAACAATAAGTCTGTAGTAGCTTTTAGCGAAGAAACGAGGAAATTTTGAGTCTCTCCGTTCCATATAACATGTGTTAATTTTACATAAAACTCACACAAATATTTCAGAATAAAGTTATTATGTGAAGTACAGTATTACGTTGTCTGAGAAGCTGATGTTTCCATAAATGTTACTTGAATTTAATCTAATTGATTTTATGTCATTTCTAAAGTCTGCCTTTAGAGCGAGCTATAGACGCGTTAAGCCGCAGTTAACTTCAGCTGATGTTTCAGCTGGAAATTATCCATAGCTTAGAGCTTTAGTTTAGATAACGATTTTTATCTCATTCCAATGTCCCATTGTAACATAGAGGCGGCGCTATCATTTTTCACTATTGCGTCGTCATCAAGGATAGACAGATCGGGTTCCTCTTTCTAATTTTACAACCTTATGGTTTGATCAAATCAACTCGACTTTTTTTCCAATTTATGTCGTTTTCTTGCGACATAAATAATTGTCGCATCGGGAAAAACAATTTACGTTAATGAACTCGTCAATAAATTTATTCGTTAATAAATGTCGATAATAATGGTAGTGTTAGAGAGACTGGTGCTCCGAGCTAATAATCTCTCTAAGGCGTACGATTTCATTTGTCGTACGACAAAGATTTCAAGCATATTGATTGGCTATAGGATAGAGAGATCCGACAACTTCTCTTTCTTGCAGCCAATCAATAGGCTTAAAATGCTTGAATTAATTACAACAAATGTAATTCCAGCCTAAATATGAATTAACTTCGTTTCTACCAATGTAGATTAACTTTAACTCTCGATTTAACTTATTTTGTATCTTTTTCCAGTTCTAAAAATTAGAAAAAGATAAACAGTGAATTAAACCGAGATTAAAATTAATCTACATTGGTAGAAATAGACATTAGTGAAAAATCTCTGAAAAGTCACTGATTGAATCAGTAACCTGACAATTAATGCCTTGCATTAATTGACAAGATACATAATCGACGGGATACTCCGGGGGACAATTTTGTTGGGAGAGGCTAAAGCCGGGAGCACAGACTTTTTCATAAAAACGCTGCATAAAAAACGCATAAGACATAAGGCATAAGAAAGTCAACCAGTCAGAGTCCTCCATTTCATACTCTGATTGGTTGATTCTCTCATGCCTTATGTTATGTGCGTTATGCAAAAGTCCGTGTTCCGGCCCTAACAATTCCGTTCACGTTTGTTGCAGGTTCCTAGCACTCGCCGCCTTGTACCGAGCCCGATACCAGTCCAATCGATCGGAGGAAGGGGATCGCCTCTGAAGACGTGATACGTTGGTGCTCCGTACCCGCCGTGTTTCACAATCGCGCCCGCGTATCTACACCCCCTTTTAACCCTCCCTCAGCGTCGTCTCGCTGTCCCCTTCGCATCGCCGCGAAGCGATCTCTCGATAGCTGACAGATCGGGATCCACGGGGAGTTCTTTCTTCGTCGCCGTGAACGAGGCGAGGAGGCGAGGTGGCGAGACGAAACGAGTCGTCGTGTCGTGATATATCATCGCCGGGGCACAATGGCTTGCGAATTCTTTAAGGTGAGTCTGTATTTCTTCATTTATGATAGATGGCACGTTTCGAGGGGGGGGGGTGGGTGGAGAGAGGGGAGGGGAAGGAGGAGAGCGAAAGCTCAGCTGCTGTGCGAATACAATACATCGGTCATTACGAGTAAAACGGTTTCGCACGGAAATCCTCCGAAGCCTTATCGCGTTATATATTTTCGTTAATGTATAAACTACCCGTTCGTACACAGAGTGGCTATTTTTGTAACGTCATTAAAAAGGCTGACGTTGAATCATTATGCGAAAGTTTTAGCGCGCGAGCACGGGAGACACTAAGTCCGTAATTTGTCCTCTTTAAATATGAAGCCCTAGCTGTCTGCCTCTCTCCGAGAGAGAGTCCCTGTAAAGTGGACCTTACAAATTACGGGCTTCCATCACCGCGGCAATCCTTGCATACGCTGTACGATAATTCACCCCCCCCCCCTATTTCCTTATCACCCGCATTCGCGAAGCTCGCGCGATTTCCGAATTCAAACCGCGTGATTGTATACGAAGAATGTCTCGGGATCTCGAGGATTCTTTTACTCGCAATGACTGCTTATATACTGTTATTCGTAAAAATATCGCCTCTTTCCTCTCGAAACCCTCGTGGGCACCACCCCATTCGATATTGCGCGGCGTGCAATCGGAATGGCGTCTATAAGAAGGTAGAAAAGCGTTTACGTTGGAGTTAATTGCCGCGGTGCATTCTTAGGATTCGCCGCTCTCGTAATTCGACCCCTGCAGGGGATGACACGGGCTTCCCCGTCTCTGCGGTCCTCCGTCGCTGCGAGTCACTTAGCGGGCCGTCCGAATGTGATGAGTTTAGTTTGTCTACATCCCTACGGGGGCGGGGGACAACTTCCCGGCTCCGCCGGGATCGTACTTCGGAAGGCAAATACGCTATATTATTTCAGTTATCCTTTACTTCGCTTGACGTCTCATATTATTAGTAACGCGAGCGAAAGTTGCCCGCAGAGAGACAACAGCGGCGACGGCGACAGCGGCGGCGGCGGCGGCAGCGGCGGCGGCGGTGGCGGTGGCAGTAGCAGCCAGCGGCAGCAGCAACAGCAGCAATAGCAGCAGCACGTGCTGCTGCATATTTTGTATGCGCATTGCCGCGCGTAAACTCCCCGTGAATTATTCCTTCGCGTCGTCTGCCGTCGCAGACGATCCGTTGCCGGCGGTCCGCATATATCCTCCTGAAATGCCTTTTATTAATTAATACGCGCGTGCCCGCCCGGACATGGCGCGCCGCTACTACGAAATGCTCCGTGAGATTTAATTTTGACGGGAGCGCCAACGCGCCGAGAGACTGGAGCTCGAACATTTTGCCAATTAGCGATAGTATCGCTACCATCGAGATATTCTGTCATCGTTGCTCTTTACAGCTTCCGCTGCGAACAGATCAATGTCCTGCGATACACGATACTGTTCTTTTTTTCGCTGTATCGCGTTTGCATTTTTGCATCGGCTCCGTCGCGCAAAATCTAGCTGTATCGCAATTTTGAGTAAATCACAGACGAGCTACCCCTGCGAATCGCACAAAAAGAGTCGCCACCATCGGCACTGGTATAGATAGTCGTTGTAATTGTCGCACCTGGGCGCACGAACGAAAACGGTAAAGTGAGGAGTGCGAGATCGAGGGCCACTCTGTGTCACAGCTTCCGTCTCTGTCTTTGGACGCAGCTTGAACGATGGCCGATTCACGCGGCTTCAAGCCAATAAACCAGTTGTGGCAGAGCGCGACGGATCAGGATTCGGAGTGTCTCTACGAGGAGATCCCAGGCCGGTCCCAGGATACGGACCGGCCGGCTGGTGCCGCCGTTGGGCAGCTGGGGGAGGAGGAAGAGCAGCAGGAGGAGGAGGAGAACATCGGCGGTAGCAGAAGGAGCCTCGATTTCGGGGTGCAGGTTGGAGATAGCGACTTCTGGGGTCTCACGGGTCGGGAGGAAGTCGTCGCCAGGAGTGGTACCATCCCCCGTAGCAGGACCGACGGCGGCGCGAGGTCGCGCAGCGGATCGGCCGATCGGCGGCCATCGGATCGGGCGCGTCAGCGGGACGTTGTCATTGTCAGGGTGGAGGACGAGCGTTATGCCGCGCGTAGGAGCCACGTGGACGCCGGTACAGGCGCCGTACTGCCGCCTCCTGCGGCTGCCGGCCACAAGCTGACCAGGGGGCGTACGAGCGCTAGCAACACCGTCGCCCGGTACTTGCATTCGGCCAGCACGAACGCCTCGGCGGCGCACTACCATCACCATCATCACGGGCTGCACGGCCAGTATCCCCCCGGCGGCAGGACGACCGGCAGGCAGCACCGCCATCATCACCCCAGCCGCGGCTCGTACAGTAATGAGACGCAGGAAGAGGTACAGGAGGACGATGAAGCCACTCTACGGGAGTTGCTCGTAAGGTACGCTCTACGTTCCGCTGCGCGCGTAGACTCTCCACGCGCGGTAGACGACGAGAGAGTCTCCCCTTGCACCCTCTCTCTCGGTCCCCCTCGATCCCCCCCTCAGTTGTCCGGTGTATACCACTCCGAATCATCGGTTATCGCGTTATCGAGACAACTTCCGTAACCACACTGCGCCAGGAGGAAGAAGAATCGTTGTTCGAAGTTTTGTTGATCTCGCGATAAGATACGAGCTGTCGGAACGGATAATTATATTGTCTTCTCTCGTTTCGAGGAGCGAGAGAATTTATAAATATATAATGCATGCAATCCAGTTACGTTCTCACGTTGCTTTCTCACGATTATAAACAGAAGGATTTAATGTTTTATTGTCAAGATGTATAGTAATCGTTCCTAAAATGACTTGTTATCGGTGATTTATATAATTATTCCGGGCTCACGTAATCATTATCAAAAAACCAACAAGGCTTTTATAACAACTCGAATGTCGAAACACGGATTAATTATGTTATCCAAGGACAATTGGCGTCGCCACCGATGACTCTAAGAATTATCTGGATTGTTGAACGTTGGAGCAGCGCCGGTAGAAGTTTACGAAGGATCTGTGACCGTCGCGAACTTCGTAAACTCCTGTCGGCGACCATAACGTTGCAAACTATTCGCGATTTTTTTTTACAAAAATACACTTATATGACTGTTAAAAAATCAGATTCGAGCGGTTAAAGGCTTACCCATATTATATTCGCATTGTTCGTGCAAGTTGAAACCTTAAGCCTCCACGACCGAAACACACGAGCAATTTTCCACGATGTCGAAATAACATGTAAAATTGGGAATTAAATTTTTGCACGTAATCTCTTTTATTATTTTATAACGACGGCCGTGGAGGATTAACGCCGCCAAATGTTGCGAGCGAATGCGCTCAAGAATTTCTGTTTAAAATATTATTCTAATATAGCCATAGCCTTTAGAATTCTGTATTGACTTTCACATTAGTAGTGACCTCTTTTTAGGGTCTTGTATAGAAATCGTACTTTACTCTTTCCATGACGAGTGAAGCGTAGAGTTTTTCTTTTTTTTTAGTCTCTTATACCTAATCGCCTTAATCTCACGTGACATGATAGAGTCGCCATTATTCGAACGTTTCAGCTCGCGGGTGATTTATTCTCGATCTGCTCTATTTCTAATATAGCTTTCTGGGCCGAAATTAAAGTCGCTTATTTTTAAACCCCCGACAATCGCGTTTCTTGTCCAATTAAATTAAGAAGAGCTGTACGTGCGTTTATATTTAAATCAGTCGAGAAAAACGTTACGAGTTATACACGCTATTGTGTGTAATTCAGAAAAAAAGCAAATTAATTCTGTATATATGAATAATTATTGTTTGCTTGCCCAATATTTCAGATATTCCCCTCTTGTTATCGCAGAATTCGGTCATTCTCAACATCGCTCGTCCGCTGATTCGCGTAATGGGGGCTCCGTCGTGCTAATGTTAACAGTCACGAGAGACTTGGCCCTTTGAATCTCTCACGAGTAACTTAGCTTAGTACCTCCGGTAGAGCGTGTATGAGCTCTCGAGACTCGCATACCAATCAAGGGGACACTCCTCCGCTCTCTTTTGTCCGCTCTGTGTTAAAGTGCGCGGCCCCTCCCGCCTTTCCCCCCGAATCGATAACACTTATTTTATCGATCTCATATACGAGCTTTGCCACTGACGAAAACGACTTCACGACCGTAAACCATTTCCATAAACATCGTTCTCTCTCGAGAACCTAACTGTGTTGCAAATGCATCCAGGTAATTCCGGCCTAAGTGGCGATTGCCTTTACCTTATACGAACAAAAAACATCGTGACCGGCGAGGAAAAAAAAAGAAAGAAGGAAAAAGAGGAAAAAAAAGGAAAAAAGGAAGAAAGAAACGGACGTCTTTCCCGCTTATTATTTTTATATAGACTCTCTATGTATCCGAGAATGCAAATGCAAGGCTTTGTGCCATGCCATTCATCATTTATACATAAATCACACTCGCTCTTAAACTTTCTTGTACATATATACTACACACCTCTCGGTCTCATAAACAAGTCGACGATCAGACACTATACCGATATTATACCGTTGTTACATTGAATTTTTTGGCTGCGGCGCTCGCAGGCTTACCACTGATTGCTCATTCCATTTCGAAAATCATGTCTCCCCCACGAAGTCAGGTGCACAAATAAGCCCGCAATAGCACCGCATAGAGCTCGGAAACGAGGAGAGTAAAGACCGGGGAACCGGGTAATGGCATCCGGTTTATATACACGGCATATACATATACCGGGACACAGGCAATTAGTTCTCAACGAAGCGACTCGCGGATGAAATTCCGTTGGTAAAAAGAATCGCGATTGCAACGAAATTGTCTACGTAATCGTAAAAGATGAGAAGAAAAAAAAGAGGTAAATAAATATATCCTATTCGTTGACATAATAGATGGATTGCTAATTCACTGAACGAATTTACATGCGTATACTAAAAGTGTCTCAGAAATGTCACTCACTTTTTTTGTGTTAACGCAAATTGTTAGTCACGAGCAAATTGTTAGCACGATTCTCGACTCAGCCTCGGAGGCCGCGTGTCCTCGTGCAGATCCTCGTAAGATTTACAATACGCACCTATTAATTTATCGCTCGATGTGCCGTCGTTGTGACTTATTTGTGTGCGTGTCTCGTTCTCTTTTATCACACTCATGAGATCATGCTGACTTTTTGTAAATTATTTTGCCGACTGTTCGTTCCGCATAAAGTGATGGGCCATTCGAATTGTGCAAGCTCGCTTGTGGACGCGGGCGGCTAGGCAGGGGTGAGTAAGCTGGCGGTGCGTCGCATGGTGAATGTGTGAAAAGGACCTCTCTTTCACACGTGACGGCTCCGTCTCCTTTTTTTTTTCTTTTTTTTTCTTAAATATATATACGTAATAATATAGAAGCGAATTGGACGTCACGATTACTAAATGCGAGCGAATATATCATTATGACATGATTTTTATGACTGAACCACGACTGTGTTTCCAAACTAGGTAAAGTTTTACAGAGTGAGATAAGAGAGGAGGCAGGGGCGGGCGTCGTCGGGCCTTATACCCCCTCCCCGCCGTGTACGTTACCGTTGTGGACCAACCACTTCACAACAAGCAGTTCAGAGTCAATTGATTGGATTTGGTGGATAATCCAACGTACGTACATATGTCGTGTGAACAAAGCAAAGAACAAATAGATCTCTGTGAGAATAAGACGAAATACTGAATCAAGAGGAGTGAGTGGGGAGGCATAGAGGCTACTGTAGTTTCGGAACACAGCCATGGTCTCCCTACCTCCCAGGTACATGACAACATCATCACTGCTCTTTCTTTCTTTCTCTCTCTCTTCTCTCTCTTCTATTCCGCTCTTTTTCTCCCTTGTCTTTGTCTTTATGTACACATATCAAAAATAGAATTGTATCACTTTTTGGTTATGCGCCTTTTCAAACAGTGAAATACAATCAGATATCGTATCACTATATTATTTAGCCTTTCGAATTTGGATGCATTTATACATCACTAGCTGCACTTGCTCCTGAATGGATTCTTGCTTAAATCCTCGGTACACTTTCCTCGATCTCCCGCCTTCTTATACCCGTTTTCGTTTCCCATTTACATGATTAGGAAGAGGTGGTGCAATCCTTTGGTTGATAAGTGTACATATTTCCGTCTCTCTATGTCTATCTGCCCGTCTGTCTATCTTAATCCCCTCTGTCGTCTTCCCTACGTCTTTCACTTTCCGTCTCATCTGTCCGCGAATCATGTGCTCATTCATTTCTGCTATTCACCTATCGCTCATCATATATCATATATCTTAGAAAAAAAAAAGAAACTTTCGGTCTCTCTTTCTCTCGCTCTATTCTATTACATTCTCATCTTAAGTCAACCCCCCTTTCTGCTTGGCTGTGCACATCGATCGATGAGTTTGCCAATTCACCGAGTCGTTCGAAAGTCGTTCTCATGATATCCTTCACGATACGTATTGTGACACGTAGAGAGCGCGTGCGAAAAATACCAGCCATCTTTCATTCATTTGCATAATTCATTTGCATCGTGCCCATAGAAATAATTACATACAATGAGAGAAGCGATACAAAGGCGATGACGGTTAGGTTCGCGAGAATCCTGAGAATTTTTCACGAACGGAGAGAGTGTCGTTCCGACGTTTCAGCAAATATATTGAGGCATTTATATCTACTTATGACTATAACTACACACACGCGAATTCACAAACTTCCATCTAATATGTGCACAGCTGCGAAAATATATGTGTAATTCATATATATATTTATATATACTATTATATATTACCACTGTAGTGTCTATCACTTTTCACACTCACCACACACACCCTAGACGTGCTTTTAGTGGCGTTTGTGTTTTGTCTGCTATTGTTTTCTGCAACTTGACATATTTACCACATAAATATATATTATATAGAGAGAGAGCCGATTGTACATATATAGATATATATATATATACACACACATATATATATATATATATATCTGTTTACGTATTATTATATAACAACATCAACCCAACATTCCCCATGGCTGCCGAGCTAACGCCGGCTCGCCGCGCTTTCGAGCTCTCGAGGGGAGGTGAAGGTGTTCCGCACTTTGCACCTGTCGAATCGTTTCTCTTTCATTCTACACAACGTCGCATAACTCCGCATCCTCATACTTAAATATACGCGGTATATATAGATATACCATATGCACATAAAACGCGCCGGGCTAAACGGTCGTCTCAGGCAGGCGGAGAGGCTCGGCAGTTAAGCGCGGAGGTAGTTGGACTTTATCTTAGGGACCTAGGCAATAGCTCTAGCCTTGAACGTCTAGTGTCAGCGTGTTCGACACAATGCTGTCGTTCCGCTCACCCGTACGAATCAGCGAGATTCACGCGGGGTATATGTGTGTGGGGATAGTCTGCAGAAACAGGTCAGCGTTATGAGTATGAACCTGAGTGCCAAGCTGGACGAGCTGCAGCGGGGTGACCGCCAGCTGGAGACCACCGTCGCTCTCTGCGAGATCCGCACGCAGCTGCAGGAGCTCACGAAGAGCGTAGAGTCTTGTCAGAGCGAGGTCAGCGAGGTGAAGCGGGACATGGTCACGATTAAGGTACCCTCTATCTGACGTGCCCACATCTATCTTTTCTGATTTATACTGATCTAGATTGATCTCAATTTTGGAACTAACGATATCGAGGCGAAATAGGAAATTTCACGAATGAAAATTTTTGTTCTAAAAGAGATTAAATTAATGTTAATTTTACCCAAAGTAGCATGCGTTCGTTTATGGATATTTCTTTTAAATTAAATGTGTTAAATTATCAATATTAATATTAAATTATATAGATAATTATAAATTATTATAAAATTATTAATTTATTAATATAAATATTAATGTGAGTATTAATATGAATATTAATATTAAATATAAAAAAATTATCAGGTATATTATCCTGTTTGTAAAAAATACAAAAATTGAAGCGGCTGTTTGTTCCATTTTTTATCTAAAAGATTGTAGGAAAATGATATTAATACATTAAATTACGATGATTCGGAATATGTAAGAGGCGAACAAATATAAATCGTCGCAAATCACCTCGTATGCGTGATATAACCGAGGTGAAAAGCTTAAAGTTAGATTAAGTTTCATGTCTACGAATATAAATTCTTTTCGTTATTGAAAGAGCGCTTTACCGCGCTTTCAATAATGTAAAAATTGCATTTGGTATGTACGGAAGTGCTTCAGATGTTTTTTTTTTCTTGACACGCAGCAAGAACTAGATACGGTACAGCAGGTCAAGGAAGAGATAGAGGAATTACGAGAGTACGTGAATCGACTGGAAGAGCACTCCCATCGGCGGAAACTTAGGCTGTTGGAGCAGGTGACTTCCGGCGTTAGACAATGTTGCTTTTCTTCATTTTATCCACTTTTATTATGTTTTAAGAACTTGAGTTGCTACGTCGTGAATGATTTGCGCGTGTGTGTGCGTGATACTCTTTTTTTTAATTTATGATTTTCTTTTATAATTTTAATTTCCTCAGCGATGTATGATTTTCATCGGACAATGCATGTACGATGCTGTTAATAAAACATTGTGTGGAACAATTTTACACGTTCTTGTCATTTTATTTTATCTCGCATTTACAATGCACCCCCATTAGCGGCACTCCCTTTCCTCTTATTATTTATATCGCATATGTAGCTGTGCTAAATGTTACGTACATGGCGTATATATATATGTATCGTTGTCAATTATATATTTCTCACGCAAACGATAAATCCGGATATTTACAGGGGCTGACGCTTTTCCTGTCGTACGCGATACTAGCTGCCGTATTGGGAATGTTGCAGTTTGGATACAACACTGGAGTGATTAATGCGCCTGAAGTGGTACGTCTATCAACGTAAAGTCTTCCATATTGTACGCCTCGAATAATTTCCGTGAGCGAACGCTCGTATAATGTACTTCGTTCAATACTGTGTTTGCAGAACATAGAGAATTTTATGAAGGACGTGTACAAGGATAGGTACGGGGAGGATATTTCGGATGATTCTGTCAAGACGTTATACTCCGTGGCCGTGAGCATATTCGCGATCGGTGGTATGGTGGGTGGCTTCAGCGGAGGGACAATTGCCAACAGATTTGGCAGGTCGGTGCTTGGTTCAGTGGATATCGTAACTTCACAGAATTTTAACGAGAGACCAGAGTGCTTTCCAAGTTATAACACTCATGTTATTTTTTTTTTATTCGTAAAATTATAATATTTGTATCGTGTTTTCTTCTTTCATCAATCTATCTTTTCAACTGGAATTTCTGATAAATGCAGCTTCGATAGAATCTTTATAACATCGCATTTTGTAATTGGAAATCTCTGGGGGAATGATAATTGTTGTAAAATGGAAAGAGACAGAAATTAATATTGGCCCTTCTGCTCTGAATCGCAGAAAGGGAGGCTTACTGCTAAACAACGTGCTGGGCATCGTGGGGGCGTGCCTGATGGGTTTCACGAAGATCGCTGAGTCGTACGAGATGCTGTTCTTTGGTCGGTTCATCATCGGTGTCAATTGTGGCTTGAACACCTCGTTGGTTCCCATGTACATATCGGAAATAGCGCCATTGAACCTGAGAGGCGGCCTAGGCACGGTGAACCAGCTCGCTGTTACGGTGGGCCTCCTGGTCTCCCAGGTGCTGGGCATCGAGCAAATCCTTGGAACGAACGAGGGTTGGCCCATTCTCTTAGGACTAGCTATCTGTCCTGCCATTCTACAGCTACTGCTGCTTCCAGTTTGCCCGGAATCTCCAAGGTGTGTGTCGAAAATCATGTGTGTGTAGAATTAAATTAAAAAATATCATGCTTCTCGATTTTTGTTTAAAGTTAAACTTGAAGAGCTTGATCAAAGGATTCAACGTTAATAAAGTATAATTTTCTACGGTCCCACAGTTATTCGTTTATAATTGACATAGGCGAGCAACACCGCACACAATCTGTTAATGGAAAAAAAATTTTTCAGATATTTGCTCATAACTAAACAGTGGGAGGAAGAGGCTCGGAAAGCTTTGAGAAGGTTGAGAGCCAGTAACCAAGTAGAAGAAGACATTGAGGAGATGAGAGCGGAGGAACGAGCTCAACAAGCTGAGTCCACGATATCGATGACAGAGCTTATATGCAGTCCAACTCTAAGAGCACCTCTCGTTATTGGTGTGGTTATGCAACTTTCGCAGCAGCTTTCGGGTATCAATGCCGTAAGTAACGTATTTCGCTCGATTACTCGCACATATTTCTCTCTCTCTCTCTCTCTCTCTCGTTTTTGTTACAATAAATTTGAGCGATCTGACGTAAAATTATTGCCCGTTCCAGGTATTTTATTATTCCACGAATCTGTTCACTAGTTCTGGTTTAACGGACGAGAGTGCCAAGTTTGCAACCATTGGCATAGGTGCCATTATGGTTTGTATGACGCTAGTGTCTATCCCGCTCATGGATAGGACAGGAAGGCGTACGTTGCACTTGTACGGTCTCGGTGGCATGTTTATCTTTTCAATATTCATCACAATTTCGTTTCTCATAAAGGTGAGTTGGAATTTTCGGCACGCTCTTATCAGACTCGTTATTATTTTAATGATAAGCCGCAGCAGGCAATTTAATTTTAGAATTTTCTTGCTTGCGTATTCGACAGTTAACAGCTTTAAGAATAGCTTACGAAGATTCAGTATTACGGATATATACATATACACCGGACATTTTCCAAAAATATCTATCCATTAATATTCATTAATGAATACATATTTTCATTATACGATCAAATATTCATTGTACGATCTTTTATTGGTAAATTATGGCTTGTATAAATTCGAAGCGAAGAATTCATCACAAAAACATGAAATCGTGAACGCTTATTTTTTTGGCGTTAAATTCTTTGATTAGGCTCTTGAAGGCGTCGACTTAAAAAAAAAACTGAAGAAACGAGATTTCTTTTAAATTAAATTTTGATAATAAAATAATGTCAAACAATAATCTTTCTACATCGAATAACTGCGTGGAATAATTTATACATCTTATGTTCTATCTGGAAAATTATCTGATAGAAGATAGAGATTTCATTGACAATGACGGATTTATTTATTAATACTTTCTCCGTAATCTTGAGAACTGTGCTTTGAGAATTTGGAAAAATCGCCTGACAAAGATCGCGAATTGTAGCTACGTATCTGTGCTTTGACACTCTATGCACCTTGGCGAAAGGTGTACTTAACACTTTGTTCACAGCTGGAGTGCGGCACTGCACCGACAGTGAGAATCACCATTATATCTATACGAATTTGCATCACAGAAATCGACTCATTTTAATTTCTCCCCACCATTCATGTAGCCAATAAGTCACGTCCTTTGCCCGCATGCTCGTTTCTTTCATTTGCGACGTAGAAGATATTTTACATCTCGATACATGGACACGTATCTGCCTCATAAATTTATTCATCGAAATTTTTAAGGATACAAGAATATTTTTAGTGACTGTTTTTATCATTAATATCGAATGGTCCTCCTAACTGAACGTGTGTTGATTAAGCAATCGATAGCAGGGACGCGAGAAAAAAAAATGTGAAAGAAATGCAGACGAATCAAGTGTCGCATGTATCGTGTATCGCACGCCGTTATGTTACTCTGGCTTACTTGTAGTTCCGCTTTTTCAGTAACCCGCTTCCCTCCTCCCCTTCACCACTGACGACCTCTTTCGTGACTGTCTGGAGGAGATTTACTTCCCGTTTATTAATCAGCCTATGTTCTCTACTTGGCTCAAACCTGTCACTCTCTATGTATCACATTACATCAACAATTAACAATATTATGTGTTAACAATAACATATTCGCGAAGTCCCTGATAGGTATACATACGTCAGTTATTATTATCCTCTGTGTACAAAATTTAACGGATCTTCAGCTGCTGATTGTATAGCACCGTATGCTTTCATACGTTACGATTAATCTCGTATAATCCCGTAAGAAAGAATAATTCGCGTTTTTCGGTAACCATTACGTGTATCATTAATTACGCGAGCCGTCGTGTACAAATTCGCACCTCACGTTCCTGCCGAAATTTTGAGAACGGTCCAGTTTTCTCGTGCGTAAAATTGTTCGAGAAAAGATGTACAGTTTATGATGAATGAAATGTATTAAGGTATCTCGATTCGCGCGACGACCGTCTGCACATATGGATGTTCCGCGCGTACGGCTAAACGCATTATATCTATATACTCTAATTGAGGTCAAAGCAAATCCTGGCACTCATCATGGAAAGCAGCGTACCGTGCTTCACCGCTTAACGAGAGGTTGTACTGTACATAACAAGGCACTCTGTCGTTATACAAAATACTTTTTGCCGCAATCACCAGTTGTCAATGCCAATGCCTTTCATTACACAGGGTTGAGCTGCGCACCGCATGCGGCATTACGAATTATTATTATTATTATTATTATATATATACGTTTCGACATGTGTTCTCTATCCGAGTTTTTTCGAGTTGAGTTCCTGGCCTGCCGTACTATCTTTTTCTTACTTTTGATTTTTCCTGAGGCTCCTCCAGCTGCTCAGGAAAGAAGAACACGATTCTACTGCCTGATAGGAGTTCTTTGGCTATGTGCAGGAAATGATTGACTGGATGTCCTATATCTCGGTGGTGTCGACCCTGTGCTTCGTCGTGTTCTTCGCCGTCGGCCCCGGATCTATACCCTGGATGATCACGGCGGAGCTGTTCTCGCAAGGCCCTAGACCCGCCGCCATGTCCATCGCGGTCCTCGTCAATTGGATGGCTAATTTTTTGGTTGGCATCGGTTTTCCAAGCATGAAGGTAAGACAACGACATCGGCCAATTGTCGTTTCACTTTAAACTACCTCCATTCGGGAGAGCAAATAACCGATTATACAAATCGATTGAATTGCAATTAATTGAGCGCAACAGAAGATAATTATATGTAACGCTAACGTTATATATAATTGTTACATTAACGTATTGTTGTTAATTAATGAAATAGATACGATAGAGCGTAACAATTATACAGGGCATAATTCGGGCATAAATTCGACTTTTGATATAAACTTGCTACGCGCGCGTTTCTGTGTTACAGAGTAGCCTTGAAAACTACACGTTCCTACCGTTCAGTGCATTTCTAGCCATCTTCTGGATCTTCACCTACAAGAAGGTTCCTGAGACCAAGAATAAAACATTCGAAGAGATTCTAGCTTTATTCAGGCATGGTAACGACAGGTATGCAAGACACAAGCAACTTACTCCCTTCCCCATTACGTATTCTCCCACGTATCCGTATAATGATAGCAAAATGTTTGAATAGTTATTCTGCATCCCCGCCTCTCTTTAGTTTCCTTTCGAAAGGAGGTCTCTGGTATATCTATATACATGTATATACGTATGTATAGCTTAAAATCCGCGCGACGGTATCCCTCAATCTGTATCCCCCGTTTATTTTTAACTCGACTCACATTGGGTACGATTTTTTAAAGTTAAGCGAAAGAAAAATCGAAATTTACATTTTCGAACTAATAACCGCACAATTTAATTAACCGTTTAATTGCACGGAGGAAAGGAGAGAGTAAGATAGATTCAGATAAACGTATCCTATGTACGTGGTGTACTGTTAACATATCCGTCCGAACGTTCATCCGTCCGTCTGTACTCGATAACGAATTAAGCTCGTTACTATATAGAGATTTCTCGAATCTCGAAGAAGAAATTTTATAATTTATTATTATAATACGATCTCATAACATTTTCTCTCTATTGTATTATAACTCTACTCCCGGGATAGTATATATATATACATATTACGCTACGCAATTTTTGCATGCATCGCCGCTTGTTCGAAGCAATAAACAGAAGTTGATCTGTGATAAAGTTTCGTCCTTTTTTTTCAGGGGGGGAGGAAATTAAGTTCCTCCCCCCCACTTATACACGGGGGACATTGTTTGTACATATTTATAAGTACAAGCTAAAGTAGTTTGTAAAATTTCGCCTTGAAATTTTGTCACACGTGCTTGGTTTCCCTTTATTGCATATCCCGATATATTTTCTTTCGTTTAAAAGCTGTTGCAAGGAAAGTACGTACATTTTTACATATTACTTGCGAAGTAAGACGCAACCACTAATCGATTAGCAAGTAGAAGAGATAAAACGTGCACGACATTGCGAATCATGTAACGAGATTATTGTACTGAGAAAAGCGTAAAAAAAAAAGAAAAGAAAATGGAGCAGTGACCGTAGGTCATTAGTTTTCTGAAAAGTGTAAACACCACAGAACGTAATTTTAGTCATCTCATTTGCGGAGTATTGCGAACGAAAGTACAAGTCAGCTATCTCGCTGTTGATCCTCTTGGCAGTTCAGACGATATTCCGTTAGATTTCCGGGAGAGGATCCGTGAAGAAAAAAAAAAGAAAAACGTGTCGGCTCTATGTTACATATAGAAGAACAATCGGTCATGTGAAATGCCGATATATCTGATTTCTTGACATTGCGATTACTTTCGAGTTATGTGTAAGAGACACGTTGTTCTCCAGTTCGAGTCGCGCGAGTTGAACACTTTTGCCGTCTTTATTGTTATACATTTTCAAGGCCAAATGGATAACATTCTGTTTGTTTAACGTACTGTACATGTATCGTTTCAATAAAATCGAATTATTTCATGGTTCTCTGGGTAAACTTGGATAATTTTTCGTTGATTTTCCGTTGTTTCGTTTTTAACTACGATGACCGACGACTGTGTTCGATATATCGTAACTGTGCTTTCTGTGTTATTCGGAGCAGGAGCAGCTTGCGGGACAGCAGACTTTATGGGTGAGTCCTGCTACTACACACTTTCCTGTGTTACTGTGGTGGCTTTGTTTACGAGATATATTATACCGATATACATATACCGATTACTACTTAACTGCATGAAGATAAATGACCAAAGACACCACCCTAGTTTACATCCAAAAGAGAGGGATTATTTTTTATGCGCTAAATAAAACACCCCCGTAATCCTTCAATGTACAAGTAAAATGCCTTTTTTCCTGCAAAGGAAAAAAAAGCTGGTTTAAACCGACGTCTCTCGCAGATGTTGGGAAGTATTAAAGTATACAGGAGAGAAAGAGAGAGAGAGAAAGAGAGAGAGAAAGAAAGAAAGACAGAGGAAAAATCGAAATAAACATTTTCTCCTATCTCTTCTTGTTCTACCAATCCTATTTCGCTTATTATCATAATCGACGCGTAATCGCGTTATGCCACGATTACTGAACGACTGCTGAACTTGTTTAAAAAATAATCCTGACCCGGCCCACGCGATTATCATTGACTTCAATCCGAAGGCCTGGCATGTCGAAATATATATATATTTTACTATCAGCTAATGCGACTCTCCGTCTTATTGCGTAATCAGTCAGGCTGAACTAAGAGAATTCAGATATACATACATATAGCTGCATGAACATAAGTTGTTATACCATATATATATATTATATATAAATTGTTCGTTTTTTTTCTTTTGTTGGAGATACATTTCACAGTTTCTAAAAGTTCGTCAGGGCTATTATGTAATCGACATGTACACGTCTGCGCCCGCGGTATAATCCCCGACGAAGATGTCCGCATAATTCCGCACTCCGTCACTGCCGGAGGTTCTCGCGAGAACCTGATCCTTTTTTTTTTCACCTCGAATAAATTGTCGTGTTTACAATCTCTCTTCATGCCGCATACGATCGCGGCTTCTGCATACTTCACTGCTCGTATCCGGGAAACACGGAGGAAACTTTTGCCTCTCCTCGCGGAAACGCCCGTATAACGCGCCGCGGGATCACGGTACTACATAACAGCCCCGATCGCTTGACTTCCTCTTTGGAGCCTTGTATTCTACAGCATGCTCCTCCTTTTAGCGTTACGTACAATGCCCAGTTAAATGTTTTCGGCGACAGGCAAGAGTCTTGGAAACAGTTTTTTATGTCGATAGTTGGCACGAGTTTATGGCGCTGTACTGTGCGACTTGCATGTTAGTGCTTTACGTTACTGTTTGGCGTTACCAAAGTGATTCCTGAGTTGTGTTAAGAGATACGATACCACAAACGTGTTTGTGATCGGCGAGCAGGACGCTTCTGTAAACTTAACGACCGGCTTTCGGAATTTCGACACTCAACTCGCAGAGCTTTGGCTCTGCCTCAAATGGGGATCTGACGATTAAAAAGTAAGGGCACTCGAAAATATAGAGCGCCAAATTTATATTTTTATTGTAAAATAGTTGCAACTTTTGTACTTCAATAAGAATCAATTTCAACTTTAATATTTTTCGATAAAATTCGCGAGATATTCAGAATTTTTTAAAAATTCAATGCTCGACGCAGATTCAAAATACAGGCTGCTTTTAAATCAGGAATTCCAGAGACTTTTGCGGAAGAGCCATCAATTAAGTCGAAATCTTGAAAATGGAGATTAATTTTACAGAGGCTGAGCGGCGGAGACCGCCGCTTTGCATCGTTTTATATTCCGCCGTTCGTCGTGTAAACATCGCGAGCGATAATTTACACGCGTTCTGGGTTTCAATTAATTTCTGCGGTGAGAGTCGACAAGTTTTTTGTTTATTTGATCAGTGCAGCTCTCGATAAACTCGCACACACGTGACATATATTTTTTGTTTCCCTTCCGGTTTCTTTCCTTCTGCTTTTGTTTCGATCAAGGTTTTGCCGAAACATTCGTCAAACGATTCAAAACAGGAATCCTACCCGTTGAAGGTAGCTAAGTCGATAGCTGGTTACGCTGCTTATGATTTAGCGAAAGTTTCTTCGGATCTGTTTGTTTCGAGGCAAGCTAATTAAAGCGTCAGCGTAATGTTATCGTATTTATTAATTGAATGGTAACTAAATATTGGATCGAAGCAGTAATGCATTTGTGGGCTTTTTTCTCGTGTTCTAACACGTTTGCATTTTACCGCAGGAGAATTAAGCTTTCGGGAAGCGGCGCGAGCACGGTGATGGGGAAAATTGAGATATAAATACTAAGTGTTTTATGAATTTACTCACTCGCCTGTAAATTTGTTTTGCTTAATGAGTAACAAACTAACAATACGATCGCTCTGCAGCTTTGTAACAATGTTAAAGTAAATGTTTATGCTGAGTTGTATCTCTATAATCTGACTCAACTTGGTCTTGTGTTAGCGCGCCACTCGATTTTCCTTTTACTTTACCGTTCTATCTCTATATAGGCGAGGAAAGGAGATGCAGTTAATCTCAGTTAGCGTAATTTGTTATATCGATACGATTGATCTAGTATACGCGCGACAAAGGAAGAGTTTCGGGGCGGTGAACATTAAAAAAATCAAATTAGTCAGTGAAAAATAATTCTCAAATTTTTAACGATTACACTATTAAAATTGAATTTATTTGTTAATGATTTGTTACTAAAATTGACATGTCTATTAAAGTTAGATTAAATTTGAAGTAGCTTACTTTATAAGGCTATGCTCTCGATTAGGATCTCTGTCGTAGATATAGATTACATACCATTTATCTTTGCGTGCCGTTTTTATCGTTACAATTACCAATTCTGATTGCTAATTTATCGGAGAGTACGATACGTTTTAGAGATGTTATCAGTCGACATCGGTAGAGCTCGGCTGCGATATAGTTGGAGATACGAAGAGATACACGGTAGACAGGAAAGAGAGTTGAACGTTTTCTTTCTATATTCGTCCGTGTAGGATGCATCTGTACACGTCTTAGCGTTACAAATAAACTTTGTGACACGTACGAAGAGATTCACGCGCGAAAGATAAATAGGATCTCTCTGAACACCCAAAAAGCTGAACACGAGGGCTCGATCGCCATTATGTAACGTTGTTGTCTTACAGGGAAGAGGAGCTCGCCACTAACTCTAGCAAGGAGACCGTCCTATCTGACGCCACCACTGCCAACCATACCCACGCTACTGATAAACTATAAATCTAAAACGCTAATGAGAAACGGCTCTAATCAGCAATCGAATTGGCCGATTCACTCGGAAACAAAAAGAAAGACTATCGTAGACTGGCGCCTCAGCCAGGCGGACTGTTATTGATTCTATATACATTGTTATATATACATATATATCGGATGACACGAGAGAACTTGTAGTACTTGGTAGTACTCACTATAGTGTGAAACTGTTAATCGATACGCACTGTGTAATTCACATTTATAAACTTCGAGACTGCTCGTTAGCATTATATACATATATTAACGAATATTTCGGCATCACCGAATAAGATCGTAATTTTAACATTTATGGTTTAAGGATGTAAAATAAAAATCTGTTTCTTTATTTGATTATCCGGATATTTTGAGTTTCCTCCTTCCATTCGTGTTTACGCCTTACACGCCGCGTTACCGATCGGGATTGACTTTGATTTTTCGAGTGGCAACGCAAAGCGAAGTCGATGTGCGGCGAAAGACGGCGAAGCCACGAGAGAGAGAGAGATAGAGAAAGAGAAATCGTATCCTCTGCACTAAAAGACATGTGTAAATATGTATGTATCATAATTTCACTTGTGCTCGAAATTACGGACGGAATTCCCTTTTGTGATAATCCCTTCGGTAATGGAGATTGCCTCGGTGAACGTCTGTTAAGTGTTAACTTGCCACACAGGCTGCCAAATATAATGTTTGATTCTTTTTTTTAGTAAGTATATATACGTAAATTTCTCTACTACACAGGCCAGTGAAACGTTGTATAATAGTACACAAGATTAGAAACTGTGAAATGAATCGTTATATAAATACGTACGCATTATCGAGCGAGAGTGCAACGCGTGCCACAGCCGCGCGCCCGTGGACCCGTAAGTACGCCGCACGGATTCACGTGGGGGGGAGCAACTCGATTCAAGATCCGTGAATCCGTTCCCAGACCCAGTGGGAGATCCACGGATCTCCGAATCCTCACCTCCGCGGGTTTACGAGTGATCGTTACCGTAACGATCGCGGCGGAGGGAAGAAGCGATTTTTCGACTTTCTCGAAAACGTCGAACGATTTAGGATCCGAATAAACGCGCTCATATCGTTTCTTTTGCATTTATTATCCTCCCCCCCCCCGTCGTGTAACGATATATTAGATCGCGCGTAAAGATCGTGCGTTATACGTAAAGATGAATCTACATTTTCCCCTCGTAAATCTCGCATCTTAAGTTTCTCTTTGCATCCATGTAGCTATTTTTATCTTTCCTACATTCGATCATCAATCATTGCTCAAAAATATCATGTATCATCATATTTAATGTAATTCAGCCGATCATTTGATTGTATTATAAGGATAACGTTTTATAAATTCGTATAGTAAAATCGTGAATAACGGTGTAGCTGGCTCCACGAGATTTCGTCGGATCCGAGTGAAAGCGATTAAATTAAGGAACGCGAATGATATAAGAATTAAACCGCAAACTCGTCGCCGTGTATTTTGTACGAATCGCAATCGGTGCTCCAAAAGGGAATTTGTATAGCGAGGAGAGAAAAGAAAAAAAAAAGAATAAGAAAATCAACAGAAATGTGATTTAAAGAAGTGGAAATCTGGACAAGTCGCGTGATGTTTTACAGGAGCATGCTAAACTGTGTGAATGCATTAGAGGGACACATACCGCCAGCAGAGAGCGCAGCCCTGATGGTGGCAGAGGAGAAGCCACATCCTGATTCATGTAAGGCTTTTTTTTTAAGAAAAAAAAAAAACTCCCGACCAGCATCAATCACGATACATTGCAACACGATAACTTGTATAATCCCTGTCATATATATATATATATATATCTCTCTGTCCAAGACAAACAATTCTCTAAACGCGGGATGCGAAGTCGCGAGATCGAGATTGTTCGTTTTCTCTCTCGGACCGCTGCGATGATTCCGGGGGTGATCAGGTGCTCCCTCGATTCGGCGGTCGAGCACGATACTTCACTTCAACTTTTGTCCCGTACGATATACTTTATATGGATCGTCTCTTTTTCGTCGACGATACTCGTGCGAATGCGTTCATCGAGTGGAAATTGACGTACGCGCCGATCGAACGTCCGTCGAACTCAACTCGAAGTTTGAACTTTTCAGAGCCTTTTTACCGCATTAGAATATTAGATCACTAGATTTATATATACATTTTCATAAATCGCACATTTTTAATTTCTTATATACGCTATACACAGATTTTTACACTTTTCATAAATTGCATATTATTTATTTCTCACACTACACATTACGTTTATTTCTTTTAATCACTTTCATTTCACGCCTGATCACCTCATCAATCATCCATCAAATCTCTGCTATACGTCATTCCGCGCGTGCTAAAGCACTGAAAACGTTGTGCTGCGGGAAACGGGAAAAATTTTCAAGAGCAACCGAGCAACCGTGCGAATCCGATCAGCAGAGTGTACGAGGAATTGTTTGCCACGTGTCGCTTTACGCGCATATACATATATCCAATATCATCTTGCATGCCATAATGCCGTATATGTATGTTCGTAAGTTTCTCCTGATTTGTAGTCTCTCATTGTTGGAACATCTGTTTTTAAATTTATTTGCGAACGTTTCTTTTCTGCTTTCAGTCTAATTCAGAAAGTGCAGAGGCGTCAAAGTGCTGGTTATACGACAGTATACAACAAACTATACATTGTGCCGCTTCACGCTACAAGACACACGCGAGCGGTCTCTCTCATAGCGGAAACACTATTCGAACTCTATTCACCCCCTTTCGCGTTGACAACGGCAAAATCAGGAAAGAAAATATCAAGTAGATCGACATACCGGTGTAACGTGTGCCATACCGAGAGATCAGAAATTTCTAATCTGCCTGTAACATCTCATTCACCCATTAGAACAATTGCACACAAAAAAAACAGACATTTTTTTCAGAGCTCTCGTTTGCGAAAAAAATTCAGAGAATTTCAGAAAAAAATCTAGACTAAAATCTAGACTAACTCTGTCTTTATCGATTCTCGACACACACACACACATACACGAGATTACCCAAGCAGGAAACAAAAAGTCATGACGACAGAAAAAAATGGCGTCAAGATGGCTCCAAAATATTGACTAAAAATCACATTTCTCGATCAGTCACGATTCATTTTAACGTCACTGTGACGTTGTCGTGACTCATGTCGTCCTGCTTGCGTACTTTCTCTCGCTCACATTCACGAACTTTCGTTTTCACTCGGCATAATAGTTTACGTTGGACATCATTCTAGTGTATCTACTCTCTTACCTTAGCTTTTCCTTTCTGTTTCACACTGCTTGGGTTCAGGCTCACTCCCGCGACGTGAACTCGCTGGAGTTTCAGTTTAGATGAGCTTATTTTTCTGACAGTATATATTCACCCGCGCACATATCTATTAATCATATGAAAAATATATAGGCACACAGAAGCAAACCTACGTTAAACGCGTGAATCGAATGATCTCAGAACACATGCTGCCTTTTATTGTTAACCATTCTCTCTCGGCGATATCTTTCTCGCGATAGCCCGTAATGAACTACATAAACGATGTGTTTCAGAATAATAAGCTCTATATATACATATATATATATATATCACACATCCATTTATCGTTTCTGTGCAACACGACAATTTTTTCATCCTATATCATATCTATATACACTTTGGACTTTAATTATTAATATTATATGTGATTACACGATACGAGAAAGTGGTAGACACTCTTCACGTACTGCTTCGTTTCTACGAATTATTATACATTATCGTATATATTATGCGCTATCGACACTGGCCTTTGTAGTAGTTTAAAGGGAGGCAGGCCAATGTGAATATATGTATATTTCCCTCATTGACACATATTATTATTACTGACGTAGCATCTGTGGAGCAATCCCGGATTGCGAGGATTCGTTTCGTTCATGTAATCGAACTTCTTAGGCCAATGTACATACATATAATTGGCGTTGTTGTTGATTTTCGTACGGTGCTGTACAATCAATTTTTTCAGCAGCATGAATGGTGTAAAGGGCATGCGCGCATGAATGTAATTCTCTAGTGCGTAGGTGCAAAAGGTAATTTCATCTCCCGCGAGAGTTTCGGACGTTTGGCTTTGAAAAATTTTAAGTCACTTAAGTCGAGAATCGTAGTCTCGCGCGGCAATCGATAATTATAGCTAAGATAATTATAGCCGGAGGGAACACGAATATATTTCTTACTAATGTATACGAATAAGTATTTTCTCAAATTAATTATTCACTGTTATAACATTCAAACATCACGTGGATTTCTAAGCGTATATAATACACAGCGATAATATCCTACATACTGATGTTCCTATATCATCTTCTTTTGCTTGACATTTGAGAGAAACTTCATTATTAAAATATATTCGCGGTCGATGAGCGGTAATATGTAAGTAGCACGGAGACTGCTGCTTATCTCGTAAATATTGATCGTATTTCGGAAAGCTAATAGAACGAATTTTAATCGCTGTTGACCTTCTTTTTGGCCAGTTTTTACAAGTGCGCTTAAATTGCATGAGTTTAGCTCTGAGACTAAAAGAGTAGCGGCTACAAAGAAGGGACTTGTTACATGACACACCGCGATTGATTTCGAGGGAATAACTGTTAAAAGCACGAAGGTGAAACGTCGTATTTTCCTACTGACGACGACCCGCCCGCATTTCACGCGAAAGAGAGACTCTTGTATCGTGAGCAGTTACGATGAAAATTTAATTCGACCGAAGGGAAAGGCCGAGTGGCCATATCGAGAGCAGTAGAAGCTTGCTTGCTCGTCCTATGAGACATACATACACGTATCTATATACACTTTTTAGCGATGTGCCCGGAAACGTAGGTAGTTGGTGAGATGAGACATACGCGACGTGGCCTGTTATCGCGCGCGTATAGAGGAGAGGAAGTTCGCGAGTAATATACCCGTGAGACTAACGTGCACCCCACAGTTGTGTTTGCAGCTGGATCCGAGCGCTCTTCCGTCGCTCCCGCTCAGCCGGAGAGACCACCGCCCCCGCTTCCCCCGCCACGCTTTCCGAACAGCGGTGTCTGACAACGGGAAACAACTCCTCTTAATATCGGTAACCTAGTGATCATGAACGCGCCGATACCGTTGCCGCTGCTGCTCACCACCAGCAGCCTCAGCCTGGAGACGCAGCTCTACGAGATCATCACCGAGAGCAGCAAGGCGTGCGCGGCGTTCCTGCGGCACAGCCTGCGCCGCGCGACCAGCCTCGGCTGGACCGCGACCGGCGAGGGCTTCGAGACGACGACGACGACGGCGGCGAGCGGCGCGATGTACAACGAGCACTGAGAAGAGAACGACGGGGAAGGGAGTCGCGGAAACGAGGCGAGACGCCGAGTTTCGTACGACGACGACGACGACGTGGTCAGGTGCGAGGTGCAGCATCCACAGGATCGGCAACACGATTGCTCAGCATCGGCGACGCGTTGATCGAGGGAACCGAGTGGTTTTCCTCGTTGGTCGATCGCGTCTCTCTGTCTGTCTGTCTGTCTGTCTCTCTGCGAGCTGAATTAGTTTCAACGAAGAGCACACGGGGTCGATCGGGGTAAACCGTTGGGAAATGTTATACCAACGAATATTATGAGAATATATACCTCAGCGTTATAATTAGGGTGAATGGGGCATCGCGATATTTTCTCCGATATTAATCGACGGGCGTGACTTCTCAATCGTTTCGCGTGATGTATAGCTATTGAAACATAATTATTCGAATGATTTTCGTGGGAGATGATTATCAGGATCGTCGTCCAAAAAAATATTCCAATATAGTGTGTTGCGCTTGTTCCTCGCGCGTGGCGAGATTACCCCTCCCCCGATCGAGCCTTCGTCTCGACTGGTGCTTATGTAGCGACGATAAATTAAAATTTCGGATGGAAATGTGTGTCTCGAATGAAATAAAAAGTACGGCTACCGAGGGATGCTGAGATCGACGCTCGGCCGCCTGGCGAGCCGAAAGACGACGGCAAGTGGACGAGATGATCCTCCTGGTGAGAGAGAGCGGAAGATCCTTTCCAGTCGAAGAGTCGCTTCCTCCGCGAGTCGGAGAAAGAGGACACCGCGCGTACGTTTAGCGAGAGGACGATGGGACGAGCGCGCGATCGAGATAGATTAAACCGCGACACGTTGCGAAAGTGATTTGTGCCTAGACGAGTATGCGCTTGCAAAGGGTAAAAGGGAGACGTGATTTTACGAAGGAGACGAGAGAAATTGCCGCGTCGCGCGATCTCACGCACCGCGCGCGCGCGAGAGTGCACACTTCGGGGACTTCGAAGCGATCCATCGAAGGATATCGGAAACGTGAAACGGCGGACGCGCACGCGGGGGGAGAGGGGCGTTTCGAGCAGACCAGGCGAAAGGGTCGGAGAATGTCCCTTCGGCCAATTCACACGGCCTCCCCTCCCCCCCGTCGTCGCAACACCCTTCGTCCACGGAGCGAAGAGGCGAGAACACGTGTATCTATATATATATCTTCACTTTTATATCATTAATTTTCTAGGACTCATGTCGGGACTACGTGTCGTTTTTGTATCACACACTGTCCTCTGTACGATTCATCGCACCGTGTTGTGTAATTAATTATTAGATCGTGCGCTGTTACTTCCGCGACGACGACGGTGTACTGATGCGCGCGACTGCCATAAACTCCGCGATAACTTAAAAAAGAAAAAAAAAAAAGATTTACGAGCTGCCCTCGAGACACTGTGATATTTTCTTTTCGTCACTCCCGGCGCTCCCGATCCCGGAATTTATCGAGAGAGCGAAATGTATCTCCCCCGCCGATCGCCGGGAGAGACGAAAGTGTTCCGAATTCGTTCGTTTCCGCGAGAGGAATAGTCTCAATTAATTTACGAGCGAATGACGAGCCCACGTCGAATTCGAACGTTTAAAAGGAGAGGATTCGTCGAACCGATAGAAAATTCGTCGTTCAAGGGTGTTTCGTGTAAGTGGGAAATTAAAAGGGATCGAAAAACGAATTTCCACGATCCCTCTTGATCTGCCCATCTTGTCGGGAAGTTCGCCTTTTGAGAGAGAAGGCCTGAGCCGATTTTTCGTTCGAAAAATCACCGGAAGACGGGAAGGGGAATAAGCCTTGCCTTTATACACAAGTCGCGGTGTGTAACAGCGCGTTAACGAACGAAGTAAATAGCGACTCTCGTGTCGAAGATCTCAAATTGGGCGTCGACCAAACTGCATTAAATTAATGTTCAAAAGAAACTAACACGGAATTTAGCTTTCGATTAGCCGCAATCTCGACGACGTTCGCGACTTCACGTCGGACTCATTATACGGTGCCTCTCGACCGCAGTATACTCATCACGAACCAATCAACCATATATATTTTATCTCATGAAACGCAGGGTACACTAAACAGCAAAAAACACTTCGCGCTTCGGCCGAGCGGGCGTTGATCGATTCCCTTAGCGACTCGCTAAATATTCCCGCGATACATCAAGACGAGTCATTCAAATCGATGAAATCGGCGTTAAATGAAAAAAATCTGGAAATTATTATTCCCCAGTGGCGAGCGAAAACAGATTCGTCGAAAGTTCGCCTCTCCCTTTTTTAAGGCCCTGCGAATTCTTAGTCCTCAAAATTGTGGTCGAGAAATTTCAATCTCAATTCCTGCGTGAAAATTATTCGTGTTTGCCGATACCGCAATCGACACCGCCGATCGTCGATCGCGTTTCATTCGCGACGGGAATCGACACCTCCTCGGCCGAATCGGGGAAAATCAATAACAGCAGCCAAGTCTGCGCAGAGGCATGCCTTTTCTTACTCCGTCATTGATCTTTCTTTCTTCTCCTTCCCCTCCCTTTTTAATGAAAGTGCAGGCGATTCGATATTTCGGGACACTCTCCGAGGGACGACGACGATCCCTCCCTCCCTACATGCTGTACATACGTGTGTATATACTTGTATACTTCTACCGTAAAACTCGAGAGACGTCGCTGAACCACACAGCAAAAGGTGTATGATAATCCTGTATAACCGGATATATAGCGTATACTTTGTTTTTCCCGCTAAAAGTAGGCATTATCGACGAATGACGAAACGAGGACGGACGTATATCTCCACCGACTCGGAGCCGTTCTAGATCCTTAAAAAAAAAGAGAGAGAGAAAGAAACATCACGATGGAGATACCGACGTCGATCGAGCATCGTGAAAACTCTCTCTTTCTTTCGCGAAAGCAAGACCCAACGAAATCGGCGGCGAGATCACATCCCGCATGTAGCTTCTGTCGTTTTTTTTTTTCAATACGAGAACTCAGCGCGGAACGAAAAAACATTCCGTAGATCCGTAGACTCCTCTCAGGTGTAGATCTGCGAGAGATGATTTATCCCGCCGCTTCTCAACTATCGATATGACGAATGGATCCAATTATTCGAATTAATAACAATGATAAATAGATTTCTCGCGTTAGCCTGTATCGAACTACCTTGCAAAAATCGAAAGAAACCCGATGGCTATTTTATCTTGCGGGTCACGAGTCATCGAAATCAGAGACTGATTAAAAAATCCCTTTCTCGTTTCATTCTATTTCTTTTAATTCTCTTCTCTCTCACAGAGTTAGATAATTTAATTCTTCGAACAAAATTGTCAGGATTCGTGAGAATTTCTTCTTCGTATCGGTCATTAGGTTTTGTTTTATAAAAAGGACAAATAAGATTATTCATTCTAATCGCGCCTACAAATAATACAAATGTTGAAAAGGAGTAAAAAAAGAGAGCCAAAGAGACTTAAGCTTGATCCTTGATTTCGATGATCAAAATTTCAATTCTACGGAATTTCAAATCTCCGATGATTCCTTTCAGAGTCAGTACAACTTGCGGTTGAATCGATACGCCGTTTCGAAATGTCGCGACGTAAAACGCAATATAATATTTAGGATAGAGAGATCGAATGGGAAAAGCAAGATCCAGACGTGCAAAACGCGTCGTATGATATCATTCGAACGAGCAACCAAAGGAAAAAAAAAAGAAGTTTTTAATTATAAGCTGTCCAAAACATACAGAATCAGTGAGAAAGGCAATAAAGCTGTTATTGAACTGAAAAAAAAAAAGATATGATAAAGTAGATCTCCTTGCATTACGAGTATTATCAGAGAATTCAGAATACTATATTAATTATCGATAAAGCTAGGCTAGAGGCGTATATAAATATATATATATATATAGAAACTATATATAGCTACTAGGCGATAGTAGCACGGCGTAAACGCGCTAATTAATATAATTGGAAACTTCACCGCGAGACAGGCGAATAAAAACTCTCTCTCTCTCTCCCTCTCTCTCTCTCACACACATACACATACACACCTCTGCGTTGGCTGATAATTACATCGTGAACCGCGAATATGTATATCGCCGTTGTTATATCTCCATTTCGAAAATCATCGCAAGCTTTATATACCGAAAACGCGATACCCGAGAGACGTGCGATTTAATTTGGCTCGAACCGGTCGAGTTGAGTCTCGAAGGTCCTCGAATTCCCGACGCGAGAATCCTTTTGCGTTATTAGTCGCTGAACGATAAAAACAAATTTCGCGTTCGGTATTAATCGTAGCCGTGAAAACTGTCCGATCGACCCACATCACACATCTGCGTTGCGACGACCTTCTTTCGATCACCAACAACCTCAACCGGAGAAAAGGCATGCTGCGATATGTGTTCACAAAAAGACAGATCACCATTGGCACCAAAAGAAAAACGATATATCATTTACACGCGCGGCAATTTTTACCCTCGAGATGCAGTGTGCCGTATATATATATATATAAAAGTTAACGCGAGACTTTGTAAGAGAGTTACGAAAGGCGCTTTCCGTTCGCGCGTACCTATATACTCAACAGCTGCGTTACTCTCGTCTCGAGAGAGAACGTCTCGGCGGAAAGGCCCTTCTTAGTCCTTACGCGAAAAAAAAGGAGAATTAAAAGAATTCACTTGTCTGTAATGGACCCACGTATAATTACTATAAACAAATAATTCGTTTCTAAAAGGATTGTAATAACGTATACATATATACATATACGCATAATACTTATAAAGACGACTACTTTTTAAACGCGGAAGACCTAATAATGTATTTCGCACTCATCCACGACTTTGATAAGAAGATAAGCAATGATCGCATTCCAGTGGTTTCGAGTCAATGACACAATATTTAAAAGAAAAAAAAAAACTCAATCGAGTAATTACGACATTTAGCCTTCGAGGAAAGCAACAACAAAAAAAGAGAGGAAAAGAAAAAAGGGTGAAATTTCGAACAGTCCAGAAAAATAAGTGATTACAATAACGATTTGTAAAATAAGTTCACTGCCATTCAAACGACTGCGCCCCTTAGGAAGAGCGCCGGAAATATTCCAAGATGTGAATGTGTACAGTTATGTGAAAAGTATATTATAACGTAATTATATTTACATATGATACTTAATTAGCATTATGTAAAACTAAATAGCATATAAACGACACTAAGAGTGGTATACATACGTAGGACATAGGTAAACAAGGAATAAAAAAAGAAAAATTGATCGCAGAGCTACTTCAAGGAAAAAGAAAAAAAAAACGTTTACGCGCCCGCTCATTTGTATATTACGGATATTAAAAAAAGTTAGCACTAACATCAATTCTCTCTCCGCTGAACGATAATCAAGTTCGATTATTACTTTTCCTTTCGTCGTATCTGCTTCTGCAACGGGAAAAAAAGGGGGCGTCTATTTTTACTGTGTAAAATATTATAAGTTCGTTGTGGGAATTCAAAAGCGTCACTATTAACAGGTCTATAAACGAGAATCTTAGTCGTACATTTAATCAGCTTTCCTATCCTCGAGCACGATCGGCAGTGCCGCGTGATACGACCACGTACGGTTGTTTCGGATTAATGTACCGTCTCTGATATACTTTGCAATTTCTCTCTCATAGAACGCGCGATGTTCTGTGCGACTTGCATTTATTAAGTGTTATGTAATTGAATTCTTTTTATAAAAGCCCTTACATTCTCTGTGAAAATGTTTTACTTTGCCTCGTCACCATCCCTCAATGAACAACATTTACGCGCGAGATCAATGAGCGTGCCATGTATTGAGATAGATAAAAAAAAAGAGTATTTTAATCACAATTTTATCATTTCATTATATACACAATATTCCAACTAAATACATTCCAAATAAATATAGGTATCAAATATCATTACGGTTTGTTATTGCAACACCATCGATGAAGTACCTGCAGTCTGCAGAGATTGATTATTTATCTAAAAACATGAGGTATCTTATGGTTTGCACTCCTGATGGTACGGCTCCAAAGTTCGGAAGTCTCTCCAAGTCGGAGGAAGCGCACTGTGCAAATACAAGCCGCAGCGCTTGCACGGTTCGCTGAACAAATTGTTCAAACTGTGAAACCATGTCTGAAAGGATGGGAAAATAACGAATCCTTAGCTAACGTATGACAATATCACGCTTAACTGGATTTAACAGTGTTTACTTTGCGGTGGGCAAGTGCATGCAATTATTTATAAAACTATCGACTACCATAAACGATCGCACCGCCAACTCGGGTAACGTAGGCGAGTAGAAGTGCAACATCGCGGCGTGCGCGTTCTCCGTCACTTTGCGGAAGACCTTGTGCCTAGACTCCGTCCACAGGTCCATCGTCTCGACGTAGCCCTTGACCACCACTCGCTCGATCATCAATCCCTTAAACGGTATCACCGCTTTCAGGACGTGTCCCAGGGTAATGTGCAGCACTGCATTCGACGCAAACGGACGAGACACGGTTATCGTCATGTCGCTAAACAGTCGGTCGAACGTCGCTATCATAGAGTCGACTTGTCTGTATAAATTGTAAAACCCATTAAAACCTACTGTCCCGAGACGTTCTGATTTTATTTTCTAATCATTATCATCTAATATCACATTGTAGGAATTAATCGAAATAGCTCACGTGGCAGGCACGTTATGATTGCTGGTTTGATACCTTCCCCTCTTCGTTCTACTTGAACTCATGTAAGATCTCTTTAGCGAGTTTTGACTGAGCAAGGCCTGGGCAACGTTACTGTATTCATGAATCTTGTCCGTCCATTTGTAACTGTTAACGAGAGTACTGTAGAGCGCCTGTCTTTCCTGCGTGGTCTCCTGGCTAAGATAGGTCGTGCTGGCTAAATTGAACGGACCAGGTGGGGGAGTCAAACTATTTACCGCCTGTTCTACGTCCCTGTGGCGTTTCAAAAATATTAATTCGTTCCTCATGACAATTGTGCATAGAGCCTCAAGACCTAATCTCAAGAACGGTATTAAATTACCTCAGGTTAAGATTCACGGTGGTCAACAGTTCCTGTAACTCGAACAAATACTTGGACTCTTTACCCTCCTCCCCGTGTTCCGCGCGCAGGCCATTTCCAAGAGAATCGAACACTTGCCCGACATTAGAACGGAGCACTTTGATAGCGGCCAGCGCTGTGTGCAGCTGATCCATTCTCAGCTGCAGCTGCTGCTGCTCCTGTTGCATGGCTTGCATGCTTTGCATCGATTGCATTTTCGCTTGCTGAAATATCGCGTTCCTTTTGCAACATAGACAACATATACGTTGTACTTTTCGAGACACAACAAATTCACATGCAGTGCGATATTTTCAAAAGTTCACTACTACACAATTAGAGATCTATTTACATTTTATAAGCGATTTTTTATGAGTGGTAATCTAAGAGTATTGCTAGATTATGGCTTACAAAGAGAATTAGATACTAAACAGTCTACGGATTTAATAGACACTAGTTTTCAATTTTTAATTCCCATTTCTGCATCAAGCTTGTCAAGAAAATAATTTGTTTTCCATTGCATTGTTTAAATGCGATTACGATGCTTTATAACCTACAAAGCCGGAACGAATCACGTTTAACGTTACCTTATTTAACAAGTTGTTTGTAAAACTACAGAGCTTAAATCCTGGAGGTAAATATAGTAGTTCTAGATGCAGTATTAATTTCCAAATTAGCGTGATTCTTTAAAGTAGAACTGAAGACGCTCATTCCGTCAACCGTACACTCGTCCTCATCTCGTATTCCGCTAATTCTCGACAATTCTCGAATTGTCACATATTAATCTAGCAACATATCGCTAGATGGCAGTGCGGTTGCCATTCAGCCTGCCCGGCTACTTTCGCTCGCCGCCGCATTCGGCGCCGCCGCTGCCGGATCGTCACCTGATGGCGTGTATTTTTTCTTCGTAGTTCGTCGTGCGATACGGGAGGTTCGCGTGTTACATGAGGGAAATTCAAAACAAAGGCAAGTACTCGGCCACGTGGAAATCGAGCGGGTGCGTCCGCGCGCGTGTGTCGTCGCCGAGGCAGGAGGCTGAACGGCGGATTAGCTGTCGATTCGTCTCTCGTTTTCTCACCGGCCGCTCTCGCCGCGCGTTCAGCCACAACCTCTACGACGAGAGGGATGGCAGGCCGAGGTGGACCGGTAAACGAGATGCGGATATGAGCCACGCGACGAGAGCGGACGACGTTAACTCGGCCATGGATCCACCGGCGGCCGACAGCGTCGACGACGAGTCCGACGATTTGTTTTCAGGTAACGAAAACGCGTGTCCCCGAATTACGGCATGGCATTCTTTTTCTCTCTTTTTTTTACACGCACGAATTTTTAGATGACGAACAAAAGAAGGAGATTGGGCGTAGATCCAACGTCTCCCACGACTCGATTTTAAGTCGGTCTGAGACACCTTTATTATTTGACAGTCCCAAAACGACGTAAGACACTTTTATTTTGTTACTTTGAAGTTTTGTTATGACCGATGAGGTTATATGTATATATATATAGCGTCTAATATATTTGTAATGATTGCAAGAGCAATTCTGTTGCGAGCAAGTAAAGTCACTGACCTATGCCGCCTGTTGAAAATGCATCTGATAAAGCGAAGTCACTTGTAAAATTGTTAATGACAGAGTGTCAACTGATGCCGTGATTCCATCCACGCCGTTGAGTCTGTTGCCCTTCTTAAGTAAGATAAACGAACAGTGGAGTAGCGACTTGGAGACACCGCAAGCTCAGGCCCAAACGAAACCAATGACTGTCTCAGCAGGAAGAGTAATACGTCTTTTCATAAACTTTGGGCGCAGTTCACTTAATGCTACAAATGCCTGCGAGCCATTTGATTGACCAATCAGAAGGAAAAGTTTCACTAATTGTGATCAATCAAAGAATGCTTCAAAGTATTTGTAGCATCAAAGTGGAGCGTAGGCCTTTGCTACACTTAAGGGCCGTCTACAATGGGAGTAATATGATAAAGTAAATCGTAAGCTATAAGAAATTGACCAATGATAATCGATTATTCTCCTCATATTCGATTATGATATTGGTTATTTTCTTACGACACACGTTTTCCTACACCACATTACTCCCATTGTAGACGACCCTTTACGCATCGCAGTCTACCGTCGAGTTATAAAACCTTTCCCCGTTTGTCGTTAATATTTCAGACTGAGGTAACACCTAGGCTCGAGCAGCGTACACCTGACGTTTCAAATGTTAAAAGCGTAGACAAAATTGTCGCCGATTCCCCTGTTATTTCCTCTAGAGCAACGCGGCGGCGCTCCAAGCGTCGTATATTTAGATCCTCCGCATCTATAGACCCATCGGCTGTGACTGACAATGAAGATATTACCGCAGTTGTACAAGTAGAGACACCTGTTATTTCTGACGGTGCTGATTCCCCGGCACTAAACGACACTGCGAATGCTGCAGTATCGAAACCGTCTTTCGAGAACGACGTTAAAGATTGCGAGCCAGAGGTTCTCGATAAGAGTCAAGACAAGGGTGGCAATGAGAAACCGGAAAATTTTACGAACGCCGTACCTGACAGTTTAAACACGTCCACGCAAGAGTTTTTTAGCAACGCCTCGTTCAGTAAGATAGACGAGCTGTGTTCCGACACTTTTAATAAGCCGGAAACAATGGAGACCGTTGCCACGCGATGTAATTACGAATCGAATGTTGAGATTAAAGGAAGGAGCGTTGACGAGGAGAAAAGTATAGGTTTCTTCACTGCCCGTGGCGCTTCGATTAATGTATCAAAGCAAGCGTTACTTAAGGCGAAGAGACTGTTCGCGGACGCCTTCGATATGGACGAAACGCAGGCGCAGGATTATGAGTCATTCGCCAAAAGAAATTGTAACGAGGAAAAAAATAGGCATTTACCATCCACTTCATTCGCTAATAACGTTCCTGCCAACATTGCGAAAGAATTTGCGCTGTCCAAAACGAAATTACTCGCAGAACGATCGAAAAATTATGACGAAGCGTACACTGCAGATTGTAAAAAGCCACTTGTAAATAAAAGTTCCGGTGAAGAAGTCAATAAAGCTCCCGTTTTACTTTCCACTGCCAGCGGCAATCCCATTAACATCTCGAAAGAAGCTTTGTTAAGAGCGAAAGCGTCATTAGCGAATGAAACGGATAATATTGATGACGATGCGTTAATAAAATATTACGAGAGATCGTCTGTCGATAAAAATAATTCTGTAACATTAAAAAATAAGGCCCTGTCATTGTTTTCTACAACTGGCGGTAGATCTATTAATATCGCAGGAAAATCACCGGCCAAAGCAACATCATTGTTCGCGAAACAGTCGGATATTACCGTTAAACTACCATCTAATAAAACCGATATTTCTGATAACGAACAATGTGATAAAAGTACTTCGAATATTAAATTCCGCACTGCCTGTGGCGCATTCGAGCAAGTTAATTCTAAAGCAAGAGCATCTGCAGAACAATTGGACGGTTCAACAGAACCAATCGCACTACAAAAAACTCATATCGATGATAATGAAATAAAAGGACAGGAAGCGGGAGTTTTAAAAATTGGATTCCAAACTGGTCGTGGTAAACCCATCGGTATCTCGGAACAGGCTTTATCCAGAGCAAAAGCATTGTTTGCGGATTTGGACGATACGTTAGAAGTAGTCGTCGCAGAGAAAACCAATGTTCACTGTGAAGAAGCGAAAGGATTAGAAGTAAAAAATATTAGATTTCAATCTGGTAGCGTCAATATTTCTGAACAGACATCGAAAGCGAAGGTATCGTTCGAGCGACTGGACGGTCAACTAGAATTCGCCGTTGCAAACAAAGCTGATAAGATCAGCGATAAAGTGGAAACCGGACGAGAAGTTAAAATTCCGAGTATTGGATTTCAAACCGCTTGCGGAACGGCCATCAAAATCTCGGAGCAAGCGTTGTCCAGGGCGAAAGCGTTATTCGCGGATGAATTAGATCCTTTAGAAATGGACATTCTCAAGAATAATGGCCGCGACGACGAAAAGATAGAGAAGCGCGACTCGACAGTTCCGCACGGTGGACTGCAAGCTGCAAGCGGCCAACGGGCACCGGTTTCGAACAATGCTGCATTGACAGCACGAGAATTATTCTCCAGCGACCGTCCGGACGAAAGTAATCCTGACTTGGAGCGCGCATCGTTGCAAAAGCGCAAACTAAGCGTGGCTAATGTAGACGAGAGCACACCCCAGGGCAGGATTCGCGCGTCCGAAACGAAGAAGGCACGTCTCAGCGGCGAATTCCACGCTAGAAAATTGTTCTTCGATAATCCGGGCGTTGACAACGTTGAGAACCGAGATCCGGATGTGAAAAGTCCTTCCGTCGTGGATTCCGTTCTGGTTTCGCCGAAAGCGGATACGGTGGAATCGACCGAATCGGATGTAGCGGGCAGTCCTGTGATAGGAAGACAGTCTATCCCGAGGAAGCGAAAGAGCGTAGGATATCACAGGGACGAGTACAACGCGTCACGAGCGGATAAAAAAGCATCAGATAACGAGAGTGCATCATCGTTGCGAGAGAACGTTGTTGTGCAAGGAAGCGCAGCTCGCGGAAAGATCGAGGACGATAAATTAGACACGGAGACGACGCGAGCCGCCGCGCGGGAAAGGGCGCGGGGCGACAGCGCGGAGTCGAGCGAGTACGGCGACACGCAGGTGATGCTGGACTTTATCGATCAGTCGGCGAGGATCCTGCAGGATCGCTTGGCGGCCGCGTTGGAGCAGGAGGCGATAATCACCGCGAAGAGGAGACGCGCGCGATCGGCGGGCTCGAAGCGGTCGGCGGGTCACCTGTACCGTTACAGGCAGATCAATTCGAACGCTCGTTTGTCGCTGCGGGAGATCGGCGGTGGCGCGCCGCCGGTGCCGCGTCCCCATCAGGAGCTGGTCGATCGGCGGATATCGCCGGATATCCTGGACATCACCGCCGCGACCGCGGCGACGTACAGATTCCGTTGCTCCGACTTCTACGGGAACGACGTGGCGCACGGTAACGTCCGCGGGATCGAGATGGAGGACGGCGCGCGTCTGATCATGGACGAGAGCGGATGCGCCGGCGTCTGGGAGCTCCTCCGCGCGTTCCTCGCAAGTCCGAGCGTAGAGCCGAGTCTCGTTCCCGCGCGCTGGGTCGAGAATCACTACCGCTGGATCGTGTGGAAGTTGGCGTCGATGGACCGAATGAAGTTCGGCTCGGCCGAGATACCCAGGTATACATATATAATATAATGGAAGCAGCACGAAAAGCTGAACTAAGCCTTGAAACTGGCATAATTTTACGAAATCAATTTAGCAAACGATTTACTAGCCGGACAGACGTGTCTGGATTTCCAGAGGGATTATGTAATTATTTTATACGTTTTTTTTTTTATACACCTTCAGGGCATTAACACCGTCGCACGTAATGGCACAGTTAAAGTATCGGTACGATCGTGAGATCGATCAGTCTCAACGACCGGCGATAAGACGGATTTTGGAAAAGGACGACGTTGCGTCTAAGAGAATGATTCTATGCGTGTCATCTATAATAGAAGTAATATACGTCAATCACATTGAATTTTACATTGCATTTCTCCAGCAAATTTTAGCACACGTATTTTATTTCACGTAATTTTAATTTACAGAATAATGACGTAAGTATGGAGATAGGGAAGAGTCCGCGTGTAGGAGTGCCCAAATGGAGAATAGAATTAACTGACGGCTGGTACAGCACGAACGCCTGTATCGATTTGGGTATGATGCGGAACGTAGCGACCGGTAAAATAAGAGAGGGCACGAAATTGATGGTGTCCGGCGCGGAATTACTCAACTGCGACCAAGGTTTCTATCCGCTCGAGGTAGGGCATCGATTTTTTTTTTTTAATCGGAATCGAATGCGAGAAAAACCAGTTGTAGAGTTCCTTGATTTCTCGTCACCCAGGCACCGGCTGACGTGTGCCTGAAATTGCACACGAATTCAACCAGGCGCGCACGATGGGACACGAAATTAGGATACGCGCCGCGTTCGGGGCCGATACCCATCAGGTTACGTAACGTCTGCCCGAGCGGCGGTTTAATCGGCAAAATGACGATTGTCGTCGCCAGAGTGTATCCGATGTTATATCACGAGAAAACCGCATCCGGGGATTCGAGTAAGGGCACATTTTTTTTAGTTCTAACTCGGCTTGCCTCCAGACGGCGAGATTAACGATTTTCAATTTTCATGCTTATTTCCCGCGGGGAACTAGTCGTCAGAAACGCTAGAAGCGAGGAGAAAGAGCGTAGCAGGTACGAGCAGCGGTGCTGGTCCAAGATAGAGGCGTTCTACGCTAATGCGGAGGACTTTCAAGGGAAAGGACTTTCTTGCGAAACCGATGATATGGCGATTCAATTGAGCGAGGATTACGAGAGCCTGTCCACGGAGGTATATATACGCGATTCGATTTATCTTATTTGCAATTGTGCATCTTCCCCTTCGCGGGTACGCGCGTCGACGTACAAAACTCCTCGTTACCGTTATAAATAGGAATCCATCTCTAAGAAGCGGCATGATGAATTGCTGCAAGAGTTACGTCAGAAGGAGGAACGGTTCAACCAGAGGATGCAGTCGAAATTGCGCGAGAGCTTGCCGGGGCCGCGGCAGGTCTCCCAGCTGCTCAAGGTACGCGTGTGCGATGAAAACGCGAACGCCGTCCTCTCGGTCTGGTCGCCCGGCGAGGACGTCGTCGACGCTCTCAAAGAAGGCGCGTGCGTCTCGCTCTGCAACATCGTGGCTTCCGGAAAGAGGTAGTGTTCACATAAAAAAAAAAAAAGGAGTAACTGTATCCGCGCCGCGGCGCGGCTAGTAATGGCGCGTAATGCCGGATTTTACGAGCGTAATTGTTCAACAGGGGTACCGAATTGCAACTCACCGCGCGTCGGTCTGCAATTTTTAAGCCGGGAAAGACGCGCGACACGTCTTATCCCGCTAGAGCGTGCACGTCGCTGTGCGAAATAGCGAATTCCGAGTTCGCTCCACCTTACGGCGAGTTCGATACGGTCGGTCTCGTCTGTTCGGTCGGTCCTGCCCCTTACGTAAGTGCTGTCATATTTTCTAGAGTTTCTAAGATAATTTAAAAAAAATAATAATAATTTGCGAAATATAAAAAAAAATATAATAAAATAAGATATAGATGAGATATAGTTTTTCTCATTTTTCAAGATTGTGATATGAAGCAATAGAGATCTTTCGAAATTTTATGGGATTTTGTATCTACAATTTTCAATATGCTCCATATGGAAACATTGTAGGGTATGAAAGACTTCGAGGTTATACATTTGGCATATCGTGAAGCGAATTTGAGCGACTTTTCGTACCTCTCGATACTATTTTGGCAAGGAATAGCCAGTTATGGATACGCAGAGATTCTTACTGTTGGATCTATCGTAGCTTGCAGTAATTTAGAATGGCGAAGGGCAACTTCGTGGAACGTCCCAGCGGCGTATTGCACGGACAGAAGTACTTTTACGCGCAATCCTCGCCGAAATCATTTATACGAATCCTTCGAAAATCTGAAAAAACTGATTACGGTACACTATATCATCTCCTTTTTTCGTTATGTATTTTATACGATTTGTAATTTTGATTTAATCATTTTTTAATTATAGTTTTTATAAATTACAAATGATCTAATTTTTTTGCAACATGTACTTTGCAAAATTTTTTGTTTAATTAATTCAATTATATTGATTTTATTATTTAATTTAATTAATTTATTTTTAATTTGATTTAAATGTGTTAAACTTGATTTTTAAGGATCCAATTAAGGATGTTGAAAGCTGTACTCTCCAGCTTAACGTGGAATTACAAAAAAAATCGACGCCTACGCGTTACACGACGGGTAAAAATACTCCGATTAAAATATACAGTTCCACGTCAAGCGCCGACAAAAAATTGGTCGACTATACGTCGCCGCTGGCGACGCCGAAATTGGGAGTGGGCAACAGCTCGACTTATGTCGCATCTAATCCCTCGATCCAGAAACGACTTGAGAAACTTCAACATTACGGCGAAGCGTCCGAGCTATCTCCTCTCGTGTTAAAAAACTCCAAGAGAATTTCTTTGGATTTTCAATCACCCATTCGCATTTCAGAGATATTGAGTACCAAACTCGGGGATTTAAATCAGTCTAATACAACGGAAAAACATTGACAATTATTTTATGTTGTTTTGTTCTAATTCGTTTTAATTCTAATGGTAAGTGTCCTAAAAACAATGTACATTTGTTAATAATTATTAAATGTTCATTAATAATAATAAGAAACTGTTCCTATAACTATAGTAATAAAGTAGTTTTATTATTCCTGTATTCTTCTGCATTTTCTACTCTATTCTAATTCAACTAATCTTTAATCTTACAACCTCAAGAAATTCTATATTACCTAGTTTAGCGATTTTATTGCGAATTAGAAACATGATTACTTTATAATGCTACACAGCTGTTTATCGGAAATATCGAATTAATATAATCATTGTCGCATTAATGTTGTTTGTTTGCAAAAAAATTATAATAAAATTCACGGTGATGATTTCTAAACTATTCTTCCGAAGAGAAAGCCGTTTGTAAATCTATAGATACGTGGGTCCAAGAGTCCAGGTGTTAGCCCAGCTGTTACCCCTCCGCAGCTGGTCATTTTCACTACGTTTACATTTTTCTAGACATATTACTAATTTTGGAAGTTTAAAAAACGTTTTTCTGAAGGAATTGATGAAAACTGCATTTGACACAATTATGTAGAAATGGGTGAGAAACGAGAAAGAACTTTATGATTTACGCAACTACATAATATAACTACATAATGAGAAGTTTCTTCTCTGGCTCTTTCATATATACAATTTTCAATACTCTACATCTTCAATGCTCTCGCCCATTTTTAAACTCGAATCAATTGTGTCTCGTGCCAATAAACGCGCGAGAGAAGAGCAAGCGGTTTTTCTCTCTTGCGAACAATACCCCGGTACACCGAGCGGACCCTCTCGAGCCGTCATGCGATTGGATCGCATGCGCTCGCGGCAGGCCGAGCCGACCGAGGCAGGAGAAACTAGAAAAGGACTGCGCGTGGACTTTGGCGCTCAGTTTAACACGCGCCGGCGTACCGTTCGCGTCACGCGTTCGCGGATCTTCCCCACGGTTGTTCGACCGCCCGGTGGATGAATGGCGATTTAAAAATAAAAATAAAAACCAAAAAAAAAAGAAAAACCGCGCGACTGTCAAGTGCCCAGGGAGAATTCACCGTGTTGTGTTTTGTTTTCTCTCGTCGACGCAGAGCCGAGGGATCCGTGCGCGGCAACGGCGGCGACGGCGGCGATGATCCACGTCGCGAATGTTCGCGCGTAGAGCGACAAACCTCCGCGGCTCGCAGCGTCCGTCAGCGCGCTCCGGCGGTGCGTGCGATCGTAGGTCTCCACCTTCAGTTGCGTCGGCGCGGCGACGATGACGACCGAGGCCCCGAAGGTGGAGTTCGCGCTCGGCAGCGAGGTCTCGCCGAGTCGCTTCTTCAAGAGCGCGTTCGCGCGAAACTTCATCAACAGCGGCCGCGACTGCAAGTCCCTGGATTACGAGCTGCTCGACAACGTCGCGACCGGGGGGAACGAGGAGGATCGCAACAACAACGGCCGGAACAACAATTTCTTCTCGCTGAATTTCGCGGACGGCAAGCCGGCGAACGGCGGCGGCGGCGGCGGCGGCGACGACGCCGCCGCGGCGCGAGCCGCCGCTCTCTGGGAGCAACCGAAGCCGAAGGAGGTGAATGCCTTTTGTACTGTTTTGCAGTCTTTTCTTTCACAACGCGATTCTCTCTTAATATCGCGGTAACGGTAACTACGCACGTGAAATATCATCCACTCTTGGAGATGATGTTGTGGTATCCTGTTATATATACGCGAGGGATACAAGAAACGTTCTATCGATACTAAAGATTCTGGAGCGTATAAAAATAATTTTGCGCTAAGGAATGCGCTAGGCTGCACCGCATTGTACAGGTGAATGCACAAGGATCGCACGTATTTCCTTTCGTCTGTTGATTCGTCTCTCTCTCTCTCTCTCTCTCTCTCTCTCTCTCTCTTGTCCGATTTAGAGCTAATTATTTTTACGAATTTTAATTTTTAATACAACGCCATTTTAAACACGATTTTTTAACGAGTTTGAAGAACGAATTTCATCTGCGGTTTAATTAAATTGATAATAATAAAAAGTGTTTTGCCCTTTTGATAAATTTACTCCTTATAATTGATTCAAGAATCCGCGTGCAATCTCGAGATATCTCATACATTCCACGTGGATTAATCCTCCATAAGGATGTGAAACTATTCCCCATACCTGTTCCGGAATCGTTAGACTTAATAACGCGCTTGAATTACGACGGGAGTAGCGAGTAGAGTAAGCGGCGGGTACTCGAGCGCGCGTGCGTTCCTACTTTACGACTAATTACGAAATTCGCGGCAAAGCGCAATGAAATCCTTCGAGCGTTAGACCGCGCGCGCGCCACGCTGAGTTTTGCAACTCGATTTAAATACAATAAATGCGGGATTTCTGCCGGATAACGCCGGCTCGCATATCTGCTATTGTGCCGGGCCGATTAAATGTCGAAAGATGCATTGCGCTCGCGGGTATCCAGCCGCGAGGAGAGAAGGGAGGGATGGGGGGAGGTAGGGAGGCAAGTTACTCTCGTTGAAAATGCTCGCTTAATACGTTACATATAATGCGCCGGCCGTCAAATAATTCGATACTTTCTATTCTTGACAGGCGGCACAGCCGGCCACGGATGCGAATGAATTGGAGAAACTTCGAAAGGTGAGTTTATTTTATGCCTCGTCGGCTGTATTATTGCACATTCATCCCCGGCGCGCATCTTCCCACCGGAACGTTCTCCCCCTCCCCCCCGGCTCGGACGTGCGAACGTTACCCCTTTATCCCATTCAACGCACGTTGTCAACGTAACACACGGCTTATTTAGAATCCCTGAAAGGGTACCCACTTTACTCGTTTCGAAACGATTCAAAGATCGCGGTGCGCGAGTCGGTATATTAACCATGGAGATACGTTTCAGCACAAAGGAATTAGAGTGCACTTTTCGTTTCGTAATCGAATCGATTATTTCGGGGAGTTTTACGCCAATCCATAATCATTGGAATCCGATAGAGGAAGCTGAATTTAATTGTCTAGCTGAATTTAATTGTCTTATTAGCTTAAACTAGGCGAGGAACGAGGAAAGAATTCTCTCCCTAATCCCTCATTTAAAGGGTTCAGGAATTCACGACTTCGAAGAATGGATTTCTGCGGCATTTCGAATGACTCGGGACTCGCGTTTGTTCTCAGAATCTCCGTTCTCTTCTTTCAGCGACGCGCGATAGAAAAGGGCCAGGTGTTTCTTTGACCATGGGGCGCGTTTTACAAGCTCGAAACGACAGAGAGCGCTCTTTCATGTACGAGCGACGCGCGATTATTTATTCCGAAAGTAACAGACCACGTTTCCGCTCGTCTTTATTTCGTTGTTAAGCGCTCCCCGATTTGCCATCCGCGGGCGGATGGTGACTAATCGTTCGAAACAACGTGAAGTTACGTCCCATAATATACTGGAATCCCGTAATATACTTTTTCATGCTTATTTCCCACCATTTCCTATCCGTCGCATTATTGTATAATAACGTGCGGGTGGAGTTAGACGGATAGGAAATTGGAGCGAGCGTATATCTCATCGGAAATGTCGGAATAGTTGCAACGACCCGAGGTACCCCGTTCGGTCACCCGAATATTCACACAGTGAGTGGAGCATCTATTTCGGGCCTACTGTGAACTCTAAGTGTCTAGTATAACTATACTTATGTATGGCGTGGCATGAAATTCCCGACCGAATAAAATACAAATACATAAATAAATTATATGTTATAATTAATTGATATTTTCTTTTTAAGTAGTACGACTCTGTTTAATCAAAGCAATTCGTTTAAGACTTAGACTCCTGAAGTCCTTAAATTAATTTGTAAAGCACTTGGTCTCCTTAAATATTTATAATCATTAACGCATAAGCAATGTTTAATAAGTAAAAATAATAGAGAAATAATAGAAGAGATGAGAAATCTCGGGCGTTCAATTGAGGTGATCAAGTGCCACAAGCACCCCGAGAAAAACTCGCCGCGTTCTACATCATCTTATTTAAACAAGACAATTGTTAGCTTGGCACCGAGCCAATTCGAATATCAGAAATTGTGGGTTAAGCACGTGTTGATTTAGTCACTCAATTTTACGCCCCGCAAAAGTCCGCGCTATAAATGTCCGCGGAAAGCGCCGAAGTCGCGCCGTTCCTGAAATAATCCGTAGGTGATACTCGCTCGCCCGAACGGCCGTTCGCCGCCGCAGATCGAGCGTGTGTATGTCGAGCGGAAGTCCGCTTCAGCCCCTCCCGTAATTATTATCAGTCGGAGGGACCGCCGCCATGTAGGCCTTTGTAGTGGGACCTATCCGAATGCACGCGCGTGTGTCTGTCTGTGCAACCGTGCAAGCAACGCGTTTGCCCGACCACGCCGAGCCGGTGACCGGAGTCGCCCGGGTTCGCGCGTGATGTCACCATCCTGCTTTTTCGATCCCGCACCGTGACACCCGCGGTCGTATACGAGAAAATTATCACCTCCTCCTGCCCGCGCCCCCCACCGTGACGACCTGCCGCCCGTGTGAAACGAGGAGAGTCCGCCGTTAAACGACACAATCCCTTCGCGTTCCCCGATTCTCAGCGTGCCTCCTTTGTTTGCGCGAGATAACCGCCGTGGTCCTATCATGCGCGATGCGCGCGGCGCTCAAAGAGCGAGATAAAGTTGATTTCTCAGAAGCGCTCTAGCGCGAAGATTCGCCACGGGATATGAAATCGCGATTACGCGGGTTTAAAGTGACGCGCAAATCCTCGTCGCAAACACGAGACGATTGGAGAGGACCCTGCGTCGCACATCCTCGAAATCCTCTTATCGCCGCGCGGCAACGCAATCGAGCAGGTCGCATGTCTTAACTAACGAGTTATTTGCCTACGCCTCGAGAGGTGTGCGTTTTAAAGGATATAACTCCGCTGGCTGTTTCCATTTGCACACCTGCGTAATGCATACATCATGGTGCGCGACACGCACCCGTGATTCCCTTCCGCGATCCCCGCCAACGGTTTCACACGTTTTACGAGTCACGGGATAAGGATACGATCGGCCAAGAAAGGTTCGTAAGGGCCGGAAGAACCCTTCCTGTCGATTGCGAAATCATCGGCGTCGCGGTAACCGGTTCACAACAAAGGATAACGATGCAACTCCTTTTGTTGAAAAAAGAAAAAAAAAGGGAAAAGAAGACTCGCCTCGAGGCGCTTCTTTTCTCGAATTCACTTTTACCTTGCAAAACTCCGAAACTCGTCGCGATCGCGTTTTCTCTCCCCTCGCAATTTCTCCATCGACACGCACTCGAGACGCAGATTGTATTCTTACCTTCAGCTCGTTTGTCGCTCGAATGTGAAAGAGGTCGCGGAGCTCTCTGTGCAGGTCGACGGTAATTAGCGAACGCGAGGTCGATTAATTAGCCAAGTAGATTGGAGTGCCGCGACGGTAACGAAACGAATCCCGTTGCTCGCGTGAGAATTAATTGCTTCTCTCGTCTTTTCAGCCCGAAACCGTCGTTGTGTCTCGTGGCGTCCCGACGCATTTTGCACGCGACCGCGTAATAAAAGACAAATCGCAATGCCGGCCGTTCTCGCGCTTCGTTGGCAATTTCAAGGCAACCGTTAACCGTCGTGCGATTCCTTTGATAAACTTTTTTCCTTTTTCAATATCCATCCCGATGGTTCCAGAGCTACGTCGTTGCAGCGATTATAAAAGAGAGCACTACTTTTTTATAGCCTCCTATATGCTCTTCCGTGTTCGCGCGTGTTATGCCATGTGCATCTTTGCAACGTTGTGTAATATCGTTAAATCGAGCTTGGCATTTAACTTTCCCCGTATTTTATTTTCTTGGAAAATATAAAAAGCACATTTTGCTCCGTTTGGCGAACTCTCCGCGCGACCATTGTAATATCCATATTATACGAACTCTCTAAAAAGATCGAAAGATTGAATCTATTTGTAAAATATTTGATCTATTTTGAAATACTAAACTTTCGATATTTTTAGAAAAAAAAATTATTGTATAAAGTAATTACAGATTTAATTACCATAACAAAAAAACAAAATATAAAATTGATTTATTCTATTTTTTAAGCTGTGTTGAAATCTAGTTATAATAACTTGGTATATAAATACTTCATACGTTTTTGTTACTAAAATAAAAGCTGGTAAAATACGTTAAGTGAACTAAATACAGGATGACAATTTTGACAGAAAAGTAGCACAATTAGTTTCCTTTCGCTCGAATTCGTAATGGTGCCGCTATTTTTACGTAGCTCCGGGAAGGAACGAAGAGCTACGCGGTTTCGAAGAAACTTCTGAACGATATCCGTTTAGCTCGCGTTCCCCAGAGATATACGATGTTTACGACGTGAAGTGTATTCGTGCGAGCGGGGAGTTTGTAAGAAAGGAAGAGATTAATCTGTCGGACAGACCGAGGTGTTATTTCATTTATAGCGTCAAGCCTTACTTCTTGCGAGACGTTCTAGGAACGGCGAGGAGGAATTCAATGGGAACGCGCGATGATCACGTGTCGAAATATTGACATCGCATAGCATGCGCTCAAGCAAGAGTGTAAAAACACAAAGTGGAAATATAATGGAGTTGGGAATGAATTTAGGAATTCGCAAAATACATGTATACATCAAAGCCTACCTTAAAAATATAAAGGTGATAGAAGTGCACCATCTGATGCATACTGCTTATAATAATTCTGAAAAATCAATTTTTTTTTAATTCGTTTTTATGAAGAAAAAAAATTGAATTTAACCTTGCTTCACTGCAACTGCCCCTCGTTTATTTCACAATAGAAATTCTATTTTATGCCGCATTGACGTCCTTCAAGTCGGCACGTAATACTCCGTGCATGACGCTTCGCAAATTTAATCACTGTTACCTGACGGCCCTAGAAATTCCCTGTGTCATCGGCATCGCGATGAAAATACCACGTTCCATTCATGTCGCATCGTGACATTCGCTATTACCGTCGGATTTCACGACTGGAGGAGGAGGAGGAGGAGGAGGATTGCGGAGGAGGACGGTACCGTGCGGAGGAGTTACACTTTCCGCGGTCGCACCGCGAAGCACCGTTACTCGATATCACGGAGACGGCAAGCGGGCGTTTAACCCGATGCGTTGTTCGTCGGAGATCGTGGCTATTTACATAACCCAGTCCATGCATTAGCGCACTCTCGGGAATGCAGCATCCAGCGGCGGAGTCGGGCGCGGGCTTGCCTCCTTTCCCCCCCTCCCTCCTGCACCTCCTCTTCCTTCTCCTCCCTTTGCCTGGTGCACCGTGCACGCTCTTCCGTTCGCCGTATAACCGCGTATGATTGCATGCTGCAATAATAATAAAGATGATCCACGTGAAGTCCACACATGTGGCGAAGAGGGACACGATGATAAGCAGCCGCGATTTGCAATTACTGTCGATGCGTTTTGGGTCGGTATGCGAAAGCGAGTCTTCGGCCAACAAAAACATTTTCATTGAACGGTCCGGAAGATGCGTGTGAAAATAGCGGTTCGATGTGGAAATTCGGGAAGATCATCAATCGCGTCTTCAGGAAAATATCGACTTTTATTTAATAATTTTTACGTTCTTTTTGCCACGCGCTTGAGAATTGGGGAAGATCGATCGTGCCGTTTGAAATTAGCGCCATTGATCCT